AAATACCCCCCTCCCCCCAACCATTTTTCTCACCCCAAAACTCTCATTCTCAATCAATTTCTCTTAATCTCTTTCAATTTCTCTTAATCTCTCTCAAATCTCTCTTAATCTTGCTTAAATCTCTCTCAAATCTCGATCTCTCTTAAGCTCTCTCAAAGCACTCTCAATCTCTCTTATTTTTCATAATGGCTTCTTCTGGTTATGGTGGTGATATTCCCATTGATGCCCAATTCAACATCGAAGAAGGGCAATTTCTTAATGTTTTTCAATCGCAGGAATCGCAAACTATGGAAAGAGTTGCTGATCAAACTGCAAATCCAACCCCTGGTGGACGCACTAGAGGTCGGGGACGCAATGGTGGTGGCACAAGTGGCCGTGGAGGAGAGGCAAGCGGCAGTGCTAGTGCAAGTGTTGCAAGTTCTAAGAAGAAATGCAAGCGCACCTCAACAGTTTGGGAGCACTTCAACACATTCGAGGACGTCGACAATAACGGTAACATTAAATACGTAGCTCAATGTAAATATTGTGGTGAGAAATTACAAGGTAACACTATTCACGGCACTACACACTTAAGAAGGCACTCTGAAAAGTGTCTTCAAAAGCAAGGAGGCGGAGATCAGCTCCGCCAAACGCAATTATCGTTTGACCGCCAAACCGGCGGTCTAAGCACGTGGAAATACGATCCGCAAGTTGATCGTATGGAAATGGCATGATTAATAGCCACATTAGATCAACCATAATTCTAATGCACAATTTTTTTCTAGAACTACTCTTAGGAAAGATGCATTAAAATTATATAAACAATAAAAGGAAGCATTAATCAACCTTCTACACTCTACTAGTGGTTGCGTTGCGTTAACGACGGATATTTGGTCCGCCGTTGCCAACAAGGATTATTTAGCTGTAACCAGACATTATTATAAATGTTTTGATTTGGATAAGAGAATCTTAGGTTTCAAATGTGTTATAGGATCACATACTGCCAATTTAATATATAACACAATTTTATCTGTTATTGTTGAATATAGTTTAAGAGATAGAATAATGGCCATAACATTAGATAATGCAACTGCGAATACTAAAGCAATAGAACTTTTTGAAAATGATTTAAGTTTATTTAGTAATAATGATATTTTCCACCAACGTTGTGCATGTCATATAATTAATTTAATAGTAAAGTCCGGTTTAAAATCAATGTCAGGTCATATTAAAAGAATTAGAGATAATATTGCTTGGATTCAAGGTAGTAATCAAAGAATACAAGATTGATTTAGATTTCTACAAGCATGTAATCAAAATCCTAGAGCATTAGCCTTAGATATGCCCATAAGATGGAACTCCATTTACATAATGCTTGAACAATGCATCCCCTATAAAGATGCAATAACAAATTATGTTAGTGCAAAATTAGGAACGGGATTTATAGATGAAACTGATTGGCAAATTGCCGAACTTTTGTATAACTTTTTAGGTAGATTTCATGAAGTTACCTTAAAGCTTAGTGGAACTTATTACCCAACTTCACCATTAGCATTAGGAGAACTTTTAAGAATGTCTATTTTATTTAGTGAATTTAGGACACATGAGGTTTTAGGAGTTCCTATCGCCTCTATGGAAAAGAAATTTAAAAAATATTGGTCTAAATTACCCATGTTGTATGGTTTCGGTGTTATTTTTGACCATATATTAAAATTAGAAGGTTTAGAAAGTGGATTAGATAACTTAGGTGAATTTTTAGCTATAGACACTACTGACCAGTTTCCTATTATAAAGGAAAAAATATATTCTCTATATATCTCTTACGAAAGTAGGTTTAGAAACACACCTCGTGTTGAACAACCGCAACAACGAGACGACAATCCGCGTTCATTCTTGAATGTTTTCAGGTTGTCTAAGAAGAAGAAGAAGAAGACGACGATGACGAGTCAAGGTCAAGAAGAATCTGGGAGTGGAAGTGGATCTTCATCAAGAGGTGGCGGCGGATTCAACGAGTTAATGGCGTACCTGAGTGAAGGCTTAGTTGTAGACATTAGTGAGGTGTTTGATTTGGTTGAGTGGTGGAGGGCACGAGCATTAACTTGGCCGATCCTAACACGACTGGCAATGGATGTTTTTTCAATCTCGGTCTCCACTGTTGCAGCCGAACAAGCATTCAATACAACCGGCCGAATACTTGAAGAACGGAGAAACGCATTGCAGCAGGATATTGTTGAAGCTTTGGTGTGCATTAAGGATTGGGACCATTCCGACCAACGCTTACACGATATAATCTCACCGGCAAACCAAGAATGGATCAACGAATTTAATAGATTAACTTTTAATTTTCAAGATGATCCTTCTGCTTCATCTTGATAATTTCTTTGTAAATATTTATTTACTTTGTAATTTCTAATTTGTATAGTGTTTATTGTAATCTTGTATAGACTTTGTAAGTTCATCAAATTTATAATTCGTCCCACAATGATTGCACTCTTTTTTTCTTATCAAGTTTTTATCCCAATTGGGTTTTTCTTGGTAAGGTTTTTAATGAGGCAATCATGAATTACAAATTTAAAAATCAATGAAGAAGTAAATTTTTTTATATAGTTCGTTCATGTGTTCAGTGTTCATTTCATATTTCAAATTGTAATATACACATTGTAATTATACAAATACTTATTTCAACAACATAAAAATATAATATAAAAAAAAATCGGGCAACCGGTCGGGCATCAGGCAGCCCGACCGGGCACGGGCAGGCATCCTCTGCCCGAAGCCCGTTCATGGTAATTTTCAGGTCGGGTCGGGCAGCCCGAAAATTCGGGTAGATCGGGTTCGGTCATCGGACAAAAATTTTAGACTTTTCAGTGGTCACGGACGGGCTGTCTAAAATTTCAGCACTACCTATTATCATCTTTTGACAATCACACTAACTTCTTTTGCTTGCTAACTAGCTGCAGAAAAAGCAGTTAATTATTAGTTTTACTTACGTGGTCTTCTTTTTAATTATTATTTATAATAAGGGTGGCCACAAATCACAATCATATTAGGTAATTAGTAGCTGTCATTATTCACTAGAAGCTATATACTTTAATGTGACCATGGTTATGGATCAACAGTTTGCACATGAAAAAAATTAATTGAAGCGTGATATTTGAAAAGGACAACATAATACTTATCCCATTTTACTAATCTAAGGATAAAAAAAGCGGTTAGCTTATCCAAAGAATAATGTTAGGGATACTTATACAAATTTTAATTTTTGTGTAACAATTAATGTGATATGTGAATTATTATTTTTATATTAATATTTAAAATATTTTTACATTTATTAATGATAATACATTACATCTATCAATATCAATTAAAATATGACAATTCATTATCACATAAATTTATACACAAAAATTAATATTTAAATTGGTATACCAAACATTACTCAATCCCAAAATATCCAAGTTAATCAAACGTGTAACACGGGCTGTGATCTACTTCGGGAGCCGTTGATGAGGTGTTACCCATGTGATATGTACACGTGTCAGCAGCCCATTAGTTAAAAAAACAATAAAAAATTTTAGTTCTCTAATTTCCATGTCTTTTTCCTCTATTTTAAAATTTCCATCGGATAGTTTATTATTTTGACGCACATGTTGCACGTCCCTTTAATTTAACCAAACTACTTACATTTTTTTTTCTATGAAACGTAAATATCAAATTACTTGTGTTAGTTTAGTTATGAAAAATACTTCTTTCGCCCTTTTGGTAGGGTTGGGATAATGCGCTCTTTATTTGAGGAGTAGAATTTGTATGTAGAGCCTTCAACGACTATTAGAGTCTCGTTGGTTTAGTTAATTTGAATCACAAATTTAAGTTTTTATAACATATTTTTTTTTATAAAAATTTAAATTTAATTTTTTTTATTACAGTATTTTTTTTATATAAATTTAGTCTATAAGCTCTATTTGATAAGAAAGATAGAGAATATAAAAGATGAAGAGGATTAGATTAATCTTTTATGCTATTTGATATGAGGAAATGAGACTTAAAATAATAGATGATAATTGTTTGTCTAATTATTATATTATCTATTTTTTTATTTGGAAATAATTTTTTTTAGAAGGTAAAAGTAACTTTTAGTTTAAAATTTGAGAGATTTGATGAATCTTCTATTAAGAGAAGAATCCAAATTCGTAAGTCTAAAAAGAGAACCTCTCCCTTCATCTCTCATCTCCTATCTTTCATTCATTCAACAAACAATCGAATTGTCATCTTCCTCGTCTCTCTCCCTTCACCCTTTTATTTCCGTCTATCTATTCATCCTATTAAATACACTCTTAAATTTTATTTAATTTACTAATTTAAGTTTAAAATTTAAATTTTATTACAATAAAAAATTTTAAAAAATAATCACATATAATTTTTTTACTATAATAAAAAAATTTTATATAAAATTATATTTTAATTTAAATCAATAAATTAAACGGCTTTTAATTTAAACTCAAATGAGCGATAGAAACCGTATTGTCAATAACGTTATGGGTACTCGGGTACTATGTTAATAGCCCCTCTTTAGATTTTTTCAGGTAAAAAGTAAATAAAAAATAATAATAATAAAAAAAACCCTTTGCCCGCCTATTGAGTATTGACTAATGGACAAAGACTAGAAGCGCGTAGTCACACGCGCTCTTTCTCATAAGTCATAACCATTAAAAAACTAAAACAAAAAAAAAATAAATAAATAAAGTCACCATCTCTATTAATAAGCTGTGCACACAACAGAACTCATTATTAAAACATTACACACAGATCCCACACTACTTCATCATTTTCAACTTTCTCTGTTTGATGTTTCACTAAAAACAGCCATTTTTCTTCTCTTCAACACAAGGAAAAGAAAAAAAAAAAAAAAAATACAACAAGAAGACTATCAACAAGTAAACGTCGCCGCTTCTTTCGCTTCAGTTTCTGGGAGTTTAACAAAAGAACTTCCCGGAAAAGATGTTCGCGGTCAAACCTTTAACAAAAGACCTTCCCGGAAAAGATGTTCGCGGTCAACCCCACCACTCCCGTGAAGTCAAACATCGCCGGCGACCGGCGGCTCCGGTCGATAACCGGCGCCGGAGATAATGGCATGAACCGGAAAAGGACGTACGTGAGACTTAGAGAACGAGGATCGGTCAGAGCTGCGATTAGTAGAGAAGACAAAGCGGTTGAGAGCTCTGTTCCGGTGCAGAGAAAAGAAGTAAATAAGTCTCTGATATCTCCTTCTCCGTCTTCGTCTTCGTCTGGCGGGATCGACGTCAGAGCGGTGGTGACGATCAGGAAGAAGATGAAGGAGAAGCTCACTGAGAAGGTTGAAGATCAGTGGGAGTTTTTCGTTAATGGGATTGGCCGGGGGATTCAGATTCAACTCATTAGTGAAGAGCTTGATCCTGGTCAGAAATTACTTTCTTTGACAACAAACAACAAACAAGTTTGTTCTTTTTTGTGTCTTTTTCTTTCATTGTTTGGATGAAAAATGCTTTTTTCTTAGAATATACGTCTGTCTCAGCTTAAAAAGCTGGACAACTTGCGAATTTTTTATATTTACGTGTCAAGATGTCTGTTTTTTTTTTTGGTTTGAAGTTACTAAATCAGGAAAGAGGGTGGAATCATGCGTGAGAGGGTGGCTGCCAAAGCCATCAAACAATTTGCACATTGTTGAATATGCAGCAAACTTCACTGTCCCAAGTGATTTTGGATGTCCCGGTGCTGTTCTCGTCACAAATCTTCATGGCAAAGAGTTTTATTTATTAGAAATTGTCATTCACGGCTTTGACAAAGGCCCTATCTTCTTCCTTGCCAATACGTGGATTCATTCGCGCAAGGACAATCCCGAGAGTCGAATTATCTTCAGAAATCAAGTAAGAATTAACAAAACAATTTTGTGATCTTCACTTTCTATTTGTTTGGTTCCAAATTTGCATCATATGTTGTTATTAATGTTGTGTCACGTTGGTCAACAGGCATATTTACCTTCACAAACACCACGAGGACTTAAGGATCTTAGAAGGGAAGACTTGCTGAGCATCCGGGGAAATGGGAAAGGAGAGAGAAAGCCACATGATAGGATTTATGACTATGATGTTTATAACGATTTGGGCAATCCTGAAAAGGATGATCTCGCTAGGCCAGTCATTGGGGGTGAGAAGAGGCCTTATCCTAGGCGCTGTCGAACTGGCCGCCCTCCAAGCAAATCAGGTATAGTTGTTCAACCTTTTTTTTTATTCCCCTCCTATTTTTGGTACAAGATTGAGTTTCTGATGTTGATCACCTGTGAGTTTAATGCGTTAAATTGGATTCGAATAGATACTCATTCGGAGACCAGAATCGAGAAGCCTCATCCGGTTTATGTACCTCGAGATGAGACTTTTGAAGAGATAAAGCAAAACACTTTCTCTGCTGGAAGGTTGAAAGCTCTGCTTCACAATCTTATACCGTCTCTGGCTGCTACTCTGTCGAATTCGGATATCCCTTTCTCGTGCTTTACCGACATTGATAAGCTGTACACCGATGGTTTCTACTTGAAAGATGACGAGCAAAATGAAGGTAGAAGGTTTCCCATTGGAGGAGATTTCATGAAACAGGTCTTGAGCGTTAAAGAAAGGTTGTTCAAATATGAGGTCCCCGCTATTATAAGAAGTAAGAAATAAACTCCTTAATAAGCTCTCTCTTTTTACTCTTTCTTGTGTTTTATAAACTTGCCTGAATTCTTGTCTTCTTAAACTTTGATCTGATGTTGTGTGTCTAATTTCTTTCCAGGAGATAGATTTGCTTGGCTGCGAGATAACGAGTTTGCGCGGCAGTGTTTAGCAGGAGTTAATCCGGTGAACATTGAGCTTTTGAAGGTAAATAAGTATTATCAAAATGTTATTGTACTGGATGATATAAGTGAAATGCCTCTGAGATTGCTCAAGTTAGGTTCAATTTCGCAGGAGTTTCCAATTCTCAGCAAACTAGACCCTGAAGTTTATGGTCCGCCCGAATCCGCTATCACAAAAGAACTGATAGAACAAGAAATCAACGGAATGAGTGTGGAAAAGGTATTGATATCCACGTTTCTATTGAGAAGCTAGAGGAAAGAATCTTTCATGAAACCATTTCGTTGTTTTCTAAATAAGCAAATATGTGATTCTGCCTTTGATGTTTGGTGGATGTAGGCTATTAAGGAAAAGAGACTCTTCTTACTTGATTTCCATGACATTCTTTTGCCATTTGTGGATAAGATTAACTCCTTGCCTGGGAGAAAGTCCTATGCTTCTAGGACAGTTCTCTTCTGTACCAACAGAGATGTTCTGAAGCCAATAGCCATTGAGCTTTCTCTTCCCCCATCGCCTTCCTCCCCTCGAAACAAGCGTGTTTATACGCATGGGCACGACGCCACGACTCATTGGATTTGGAAGCTTGCCAAAGCTCATGTTTGCTCCAATGATGCAGGAGTCCATCAATTAGTTAATCACTGGTAAAAAGCAAACGAATTACATTATCCTCTGTCCAACCCTTCTTTTTACTACTACCATACGAATAGGACATTAAGTTTTCCCATACCAAAATCAAATTAAGTCGGGAAAAAAGTTAGAAAGTTTGGCAAAATAGAAAAACACGTCTCGTCTAAGTTGTATTCAGCTGGAAGCTTTGTGAAAGAAAGTTCAGATGTGTGCATTTCTAATATGTTTTTTGTTTGTTATGTGTAGGCTGAAGACTCACGCTTGCATGGAGCCCTATATAATTGCAACTCATAGGCAGCTCAGCTCAATGCACCCCATTTACATGCTCCTTCATCCTCATATGCGATACACTTTGGAAATCAACGCACTCGCGAGGCAAAGCTTAATTAATGGAGGAGGAATAATTGAGGCAAGTTTCAGTCCAGGAAAATATGCCTTGGAGCTAAGCTCCGCAGCTTACAAGAGCTGGCGATTCGACTTGGAGGCACTTCCAGCTGATCTTCTCCGTCGGTAAGAACATTTGACTGCCTTGAGAAGCACATAGTAATTTGGCATATACTCATGTTAGAACTTTTCAGGGGCATGGCTGTGGAGGATCCAACAATGCCTAGTGGTGTCAAACTTGTGATTGAAGATTACCCGTACGCCACAGATGGTCTCCTCATATGGTCCGCCATCAAAGAATGGGTAGAGTCTTATGTTGAACATTACTATTCCGAGCCAAACTCTGTAACAACTGATAATGAGCTTCAGGCATGGTGGGATGAGATCAAGAACAAGGGTCACCCTGACAAGAAAAACGAGCCATGGTGGCCGAAACTTAACACCAAAGAGGACTTATCCGGTATCCTCACCTCCATGATTTGGGTGGCTTCAGGTCAGCATGCAGCCATCAACTTTGGGCAGTACCCTTTTGGAGGGTATGTGCCTAATCGCCCTACGCTTATGAGGAAACTTATTCCACAAGAAAACAGCCATGATTACGAGAAGTTCATGTTAAACCCACAAAACACTTTCCTGTCTTCTTTGCCGACCCAACTTCAGGCCACCAAAGTAATGGCCGTTCAAGATACTCTCTCAACTCACTCTGCAGATGAAGAGTACTTGGGTCAGGTGAACCCGCTTCATGCCCATTGGACAAATGATCATGAAATCCTCGAGTCTTTGAACAAATTCTCTTCTAGGTTACAGGAGATAGAGGAGATCATTAACAGAAGAAACAAAGATATCCGCCTTAAAAACAGAAGTGGCGCAGGCGTTCCGCCATATGAGTTGCTGCTTCCATCATCAGGCCCTGGGGTGACTGGTCGCGGAATACCAAATAGCATTTCCATCTGATTGTTTTTGCTTTGTTTAGGTGATGTAAAAGGTTTTTGAATCTACCATTTTCAGCACCTTGTAGTAAAACTAAGTACTATCTCATCTCCTCTCTTGCCGGGCAAAAAAAAATAGATACTACTGTTGCTTTAGTGAGTAGTGATAAATATACAGGATCTTATGTACCGCACAGAAAATTTTTTTCCAAATTAAATATACATATTTTACATGCAATTTGGAGAAAATAATGAGTGTGTTTAGAACTCATTTTAAAATGATTTTATTTTTTATATGAAAATAGAAATGAAAACATTTTTAATTTCAGACATAAATCATTTTTAAAAATGCATTTGGTAATTTTTTCAAGAGATTGTTTTCAGTATAAAAAAATTTATTAATGTCTCTCTACTCGAGAGATGAGAAAATGGAAATAAAAAATGAAAAATGACTTAAATTTATTTTTCATTTCTCTCACATTTTACAATAAACTAAAAAATCGTTTTCATTTCAGTTTTTTTGTCTTTAATTGTGTTAAACACCGTTTTTTTCCCGTTTTCATTTTTTCTTTCTCGAAAAATGTGAAAATAAAAAACGAAAACAACTCTAAACACAGCATTATATTTCCATGGAAGACGTCAAGGATAATAATCATGATCATTCCACAAAAAAATTATCCATCAGCAGTAAATAAGTAGAATAACTCTCCCAGAAGAATATATTGAGCTTTTTTGCTTTGTTGGTATTATCAGCTTTGGAATTTAGATTGGTAGATTTTTCTCAATTATAAAAGAAATACAACATAATAAAGACATCTAAAAAGAACTATAACTTTGAAACAGGATTTGATAATGCAAGTTTGATTAACTCCCTCCTCAATACCTTACCCTGTGCATTCTTTGGTATTGCATCAATGAACTTTAACTTTCTTATCTTCTTATATGGTGCAACCTACAAGCAGTATTTTATCACAAGAGAAAAGAGAAAGATTACGGTTAATTCAGCCAGAATGGACGTCAAATTTTGCAAAATTATGTCTAAGTAGCCAGTTCTGGTTTATAAGAAGTAAAGCTAGACAGTTGACATTGAAATAGATAAAAATCATTCCTGAAAATCGTGTAAGATTATGAGAATAGCGGAGTAAGTACCCGTTTAGCAATGAAATCCATAATCTGTGATTCATGAACAACACTTCCAGTGCGTTTTACGACAAAGGCCATAGGTACTTGCCCTGCTTCTTCATCAGGGTACCTGTTAATACTTTAGTCTTTAGAAATAAAGTAGTCCTAATCAACGCATAAATCACATAAAGTCAACAAATTAGCTAAACTGATATAATAGAAATACATACGGAACCACAGCTGCATCAGTTATATCTAGACGCGATTGAAGCAGATGCTCTAGTTCTGCCGGGGCAACCTGACATATATATGAACACAAATGATGATCATTAAGAGTGTAGTTGTTTTAGAAAAGAAAAGAAACAAAACAAAGCTTTCCTGTGTTTAAGAAATATTACTGCAGTGTAAAAACTAATTGAGAGCAACGTATTTTGAAGCAAAAACTGAATAATTCATTAACTTCAGAAACATTACAATTTATAACTTGATGAACAACAGCCCACTAACATCATGGTCCTTAACTTGTGCCATGATAACAAACATGCATAACTGAAAATCAGCAACTTCCTAAAAACTAGGTGCGACTACTTTGAATGATTCAAAATAAATAAAAATCTTCAGTAACGTGGCAACACATCTAACCACTTCTGCAACGTGACAGCCATTCTAAACACTTGTCTAACACTCCTCCTTGTTTAGATGCTGCACATTCCAAGTGTCTTTCTGAAAAATTCAAACTTGTTGACTAGCAGAGGCTTTGTGAAAATATCAGCAACCTGATCTTCTGTTTTGCAATAGAAAATAACCATAGCTCCAGCCTTTTGTGCTTCCCTCAGAAAAAATAACTTGATGTTAAAATGCTTAGTTTTCCCGTGAAACACGGGGTTATGAGAGATAGCAATAGCAGCTTGGTTGTCAACATGAATCACCGTGCTTTCCTTCTGCTCTATGTTAAGATCAATTAAAATCTTTCTTAGCCACATAGCTTGATTCACTGCAACTGTGGCTGCAATAAACTCTGCTTCAGCTGTAGATTGAGCTACAATTTCTTGTTTTTTCGATCTCCAAGAGAAAACACCAGAACCAAATGTAAACATTAGTCTGAAGTGCTCCTCATATCATCAATGGAACCCCCCCAATCACTGTCTGAAAAACCAGCCAGCTTGAACTCTTTGCTTCTTGTGAATTTGATGCCAAAATCACAGGTACCTTTGACATATCTAATCACTCTCTTTGCAGCCTTGAGATGCATTTCACTTGCACAATGCATGAACCGAGACAAAATGCTTACAGCATTCAAGATGTCAAGCCGAGTTGCTGTAAGATACATCAAGCAACCAATCATGCTTCTGAAATATGCTTGATCAATCTTGTCAGTTCCATCTTCTTTGCTGAGCTTTTCCTTCTGGTTCATTGGTGTGTTCATTTCTTTGCAATCATCGAGTTTGAACTTCTTTAGGATCTCTTTGGCATATTTCTTCTGACAAATAAAGATTTCATGTTCATCTTGTTTGATTTCCATTCCAAGAAAAAAAGTCATCAAACCGAGATCTGTCATCTCAAAGACCACCATCATCTCTTGCTTGAACTTCTCCACAAGACTTGTGTTGTTTCCTGTCACGAGCAGATCATCCACATACAGTGAGATAATAAGAATGTCAGCTCCAATGTGCTTGACATACAATGTTGATTCAGATAAGCTTTTAGCAAATCCCAAGCTCAACAAATGTTCATCAATTCTGCTGTACCAAGCTCTTGGAGCTTGTTTCAGACCATAAAGAGCCTTCTTGAGAAGATAAACCTTGTCTTCTTCTCCTTCCTTCACAAAGCCCTCGGGTTGCTCAACATAGATTTCTTCTTGCAAGTAACCATTTAAGAAGGCTGATTTGACATCGAGTTGATACACTCTCCAATTCTTTTGAGCAGCTACAGTAAGTAACAGCTTGATGGTGTCCAATCGAGCCACTGGTGCAAACGTATCTGAGTAGTCCACGCCAAAAATCTGAGCACACCCTTTCACTACAAGTCTTGCTTTGTGTTTGTTAATTGAGCCATCTGCATTAAGCTTGGTTCTGAACACCCATTTGACACCAATGATATTCCTGTCTTGTGGTCTGTCAATGAGCTTCCATGTTTGATTTCTTTCGATCATGTACAACTCCTCCTCCATTGCAGCTATCCACTTCTGATCTGTCTTGGCTTCTTCATAATCTGCAGGTTCACACACAGCAATGTTGCATCTTTGATAAACATCAGAAAGTGGTCTTGTGCCTCTGATAGGAATGTCATCCACCATGTCAAGTTTCCTGTTTCGGACACGGCAGAACAAAACATAGGAGACTGGCAAAATAACATGGTGGATGACATTCCTGTCAGAGGCACAAGACCATAATCTATAGGTTCACACACAGCAATGTTGCATCTTTGATAAACATCAGAAAGTGGTCTTGTGCCTCTAACAGGAATGTCCTCCACCATGTCATTTTGCCAGTCTCCTATGCTTTGTTCTGCCGTGTCCGAACAGGAAACTTGAGCTTTGGCTCTTTTGAGGTTGGATCCATCTTCTTTGCATCATCCCAATTCCACTCTTCGTCTTCCATAAAGTGCACATCCCTGCTTATAACAATTTTTCCAGTTTGTGACTGGAAAACTTTATAGGCTTTTGTAACCGAGCTGTAGCCAATAAAGATGCCTGGAAGTGCTCTTTTATCTAGTTTATCTCTCTTGATCTGTGGAACATGAGTGAAGCACAAATATCCAAATATTTTAAGGAAATTCAAGGATGGTTTATAACCATACCATGCCTCAAAGGGTGTTTGATCCCTTACTGCTCTTGTGAGAAGCTTGTTTTGTAAAAAAACAGTAGTGTTTGCTGCTTCGGCCCAGAACTGCTTTGATAGGTTCTTCTCATGTAGCATACATCGTGTCATCTCCAATATGAATCTGTTCCGTCTCTCACTTACTCCATTTTGTTGCGGAGTGTATGGAGCAATTAGTTGATGTTGGATGCCGTCCTCCTCACAAAATCAGTTGAAGGATTCAGAGTTGTACTCCTTGCCATTGTCTGATCTAAGAGTCTGAATTTTGCAGCCACTCTCATTCTCAACTATGGCTTTAAAGTTCCAGAAGACTTGAGCCACCTCTGACTTGTGTTTTAAAAAGAAAATCCAACACATACAGGTGAAATCATCAATGAATGCAGCATAATAGAGACTACCTTTCAAGGAAGGCGTTCTTTGTGGGCCTGCAATATCCATGTGGATTAACTGGAGCTTCTTTGATGCTCTCCATGCTATCTTGGGAAACGGTTTTCTACTTTGCTTTCCAAACTGACATGCTTTGCAGTTTGGAATGCGATCATCAAGTTCTGGAAGATCATTTATCATCATCTTGGATTTCATCTGCAACAGCCCCTGATGATGATAGTGCCCGAGCCTCTTGTGCCAAACTTCTGTGATACTTTCTTTGATTGGGAAAGCAGATTGCTCCTCCTCCAATGGATTTAGAACAAAACTTTTCCCTTTCATTTTCACTTTGAAGATATCTTGGCTAGCTGCATCTTTAATCAAGCAACTTTTGTCTTCGAACACAACTTTATAACCTTTTCCAATTAGTTGTCCAACACTTAACAAATTTTGATCAATTTTAGGGACATACAACACATCAGAAATGAACTTTGTACCTGAGTAGCTCGAGATTACAACTGTTCCCTTTCCTTTCACAGTTATGTACTCGCCATTTCCAATTCAAACCTTCGACGTGTTTGTGCTTGATAATTCCCTGAAAAGATCCTTGTCATGTGTCATGTGGTTAGTACAACCACTGTCAATGAGCCAGCTCTCACTTGATTCGATGCTTGAAAAACAGGTAGCCACGAACAGTTGGTCCTCCTCCTCTTGATCAGCAATCTGTGCATCTTCACGTTGTTGCTGATTTTTGTTTTTGCAGATAATAGCTTCATGCCCCATCTGGTTGCATTTGGAACATTTTGCCTCAGGTCTCCTCCAACATTTGAATGGAGGATGCCCTTTCTTCCCACAGTGATGACAAGGAGGGTATTTACCCTTGAAACTTCCATTTTTGTTGTCGTTGCTACTCGAAGCAGGAGAGAACGAATTTCCTTTTTGTCCCGTCTTCTTTTTCTTCTTGTTTTTGTCAGCTCCATGATGTTTTGCAGGTAAGGCACCCTCAACATCACCTTCCTGCCTCATGGCTCTTCTTTGCTCCTGTGCTTGTTGAGCATTCAACAGCTCTGCCAGAGAGATTTTTGATATATCCTTAGTGTTTTCTAAGGATGTAATTGTTGCCTCAAATTTTTCAGGCATCGTTACAAGGATTTTTTCAATAATCCTTGATTCTGGCAGGGACGAGCCGAGTAGTCTAACTCGGCTTGCAATGTTAAGCAACCTGTCAGAATACTCTTTGATGGATTCAGTCTTCTTCATCTTCTGCAACTCAAAGTCACGTACCAGGTTCAGGACTTGCATCCCCCGGATCCTTTCATCTCCTTCGTATTCGGTCTTGAGATAATCCCATATCTCCTTTGCTAACTTCAGAGACATGATACGAATGAAGATGGTGGACGCGACTGCAGCAAACAAGCATGCCTTTGCCTTTGATTTCTTCATCTTCTTCTCCTTCTGCGCTTTGATCTGTGCCATGGTGGGATTGTTTGGTAGTGCAGGGATTTCATAGTCTTCTTCCACTGCTTCTCAAAGATCCAAAGCATACAAGTATGTCTCCATGCGTACTGCCCAAATCTGGTAATTGTCTCCGTCGAACACTGGCGGAGCAATGGATGAGAAACTGGCTTCGGCTTCCATGACGCGTCAAACTCACACACATATCCCTTAAGAAGAGTGCTCTGATACCAATTGTAGTTGTTTTAGAAAAGAAAAGAAACAAAACAAAGCTTTCCTGTGTTTAAGAAATATTACTGCAGTTTAAAAACTAATTGAGAGCAACGTATTTTGAAGCAAAAACTGAATAATTCATTAACTTCAGAAACATTATAATTTATAACTTGATGAACAACAGCCCACTAACATCATGGTCCTTAACTTGTGCCATGATAACAAACATGCATAACTGAAAATCAGCAACTTCCTAAAAGCTAGGTACGACTACTTTGAATGATTCAAAATAAATAAAAATCTTCAGTAACGTGGCAACACATCTAACCACTTCTGCAACGTGGCAGCCATCCTAAACACTTGTCTAACAAAGAGGAGAAAAAAAAAAAGAATTGTAACAAATTTTTAGGAAACATATGAACATCAGTTGGAGTAATTAAGTTAAAAGAGACGAAAAACCTGATAGCCCTTGCATTTGATTAATTCCTTTAGGCGATCCACAATAAACAGATAACCTTCATTGTTGATATAACAAAGGTCACCGGTTTTCAGCCATCCGTCTGAATCAAGAATCTCAGTAGTTGCTTTTTTGTCATCAACATAACCTATACTACAATAACAAGACCAATATTGGATGTTGAGTGCAGTACAAGAAAGAAATTTATTTGATAATTTGCATATCCCATATCCATAACATGAAAAACATGCAAGATGGGCTAAACTAGGCAGTCTTACATTATCAATTACGCGAAAAATTGTTATCAAGACTAAACCAACAGTATATCGTACCCTTCATTATGAATGGTCCTTTAAGGTAAAGCTCTCCAGGCATTGAAGGAGGCAAATTAGCGCCAGTTTCAATGTCGACAATCTTGGCTTGGAAATTTGGCATTAGCTTTCCCGTAGCACCTTCTACCAGGCTTTCTTTCAGGCCTACAGTTCCAAACACCCGTCCTGTTGACTCTGTTAAGCCATATGCCTTCATCCCATACGGCACAAGGCATATAAAAGTATAAAGTTCAATCTTTTTCCTTTTTGATAAACTCTTACTTTTATAGTAATCATCTAGAGAAAAAGAACAAGGGTACATGGGAAAAAAAATGACAAATATCATAAGAGGCTAAGAGCATATGTTAAAAGCCACTAAATCAAAGGCTTATCATGGATTATGAATTAAGGATTATCTTTTAAAATTTGTCGTAGTTTATTAGAAGCATAGTCTTCAGCCCGACCAACTTAATATAATGAGTGCTTATTTTATCAAGAAGTGAATAATATTGATCCCTATATTTATAGTCCTGAAATAAAAATATTACCTGGCAACAAGTATGTGGGTTGAGGCTGACGCTTTCACGTGACAATTATAACCCTTGTATTTAGGTTTTTTTCAGAATTTGGTTCTCTTTTATCTGATATTCATCATTTTTTTTTTTTATCTTTTTCCCAAATCCCAAGCGTTTTGTTGAGACGCTCATACATATATAGAACCGCCAATATGGTTGTTCATGGTCTATCAAAATTCCACTCAGGACAGTTAAGGTGGAAATTCGTATCACTTGTCATGTTTTGATTTTAAATTTATAATCAATCCGTAACACAAAATTTTTTAAAAACCACAATATGAACACGATATGACCACTTTACGGGTTGACACAACACGAAAATGACTCGTGACACGAAATTGACCCGTGAACCTGAAATTGACAAGAAAATTGTATACTTTTATTTAATTTTTTACATATTAGAAATAACTTAAAATTCATAATACACTAAAATACGATAATATCCATTGAAATTAAGTAAATAATAGTATAAGATTTTGAGTATAACTATCATGATATCACAAGTTCATAATAAAATAAAAAAAATATGTAATGAAAAATATATGTATTTTTTAGTTTTTTACGAGTTTCGTATAGTGTTCGGGTTAAGCGAATCTAACCCGAAATTGACCCGTATTTTTCGTATCAATTTCATGTCGACCCAATTCTAATTCGAACCTCTTTTTTCTCAACCTTAACCCATAAAATTCATATCATTTTTTAATCGTGTTGCCATATTAACAGCCATAATTCTTTCTTTTAATGTTATATATAAGGCATAAATGTTGTCCGACACCACGTTTCATATAAAGTTTGTAACCATTATGTCTGAATTTTTATTTTATGTTATTTTTTTTATAGCACTAACAAAAAGTATTTAATTAACATTGATTTTGATTATTTTTATATCCACTACCACATAAGTGATAATCTTATGACGATCGTTATTTTCTTTCGTGGTGCTGTAAACAAAACAAAAAAATCAAAAAACAAAAAACACATATTTTCCATTTTATCAGGACAAAGAGATCCTTGCCTGTGCCAGTTGTACGTTTGGCAACCGCTTTCTCAACTGCTCAATTACACTCCTCCGCAACGGAGCACCACCACAACCAACGACCTCAAGCGAACTCAAATCACATCCGTCCATCACGCTTATATCCTTGGCAATCGCCACAAGCACCGGTGGGGCCACCGCCAAGTGGCTTACCCTAAGCTCCTCGACCGTCCTCAGCAGTCGCCTCAGGTCAAACCTCCCCTTCCCCATCGTCACTAGGATTTCACCCAGCGCAAGCACCCTCGTGCAGTACCCGAATCCGTACACGTGAAAGTACGGAACCGCACACAACGCCACCGCAGGGGACGTTGCCGCCGCCTTAGACTGGCCATGAACCGCGTAAACTCCAGCAAACACGGATATCCAGTTCCGGTGTGTCAACTCCACACCTTTGACTCGCCCGGTCGTACCGGAAGAGTACAAGATCGTTGCCGTATCCGATTGTCTCACCTTGACTCGGCGAAACTCGCCAATCCTGTTCGTCATCATGGACTCGAACTCCGGCGAGTCGAGCAAAACGACGCCGTATCGGAGAGAAGGGATTTTCGGAGCTGTTTCCAATGTCGCGAACGCGACGACCGGTTTGCATAGCTGGATTTGGCGGGAAATCTCGGAATCCGAGCTCGCGGGATTGGAAGGCGAAATTACAACGCCGAGGGAGAGCAAGGAGTAGAAGAGGATTGGAATGTGGATCGAATTTGGGGAGAGAACGAAGGCGGAGTCGCCGGCGGAGATTCCGAGGGTGGTCTGGAGAGAGGCTGCTAGAGTTTCAACGCGGCGAAGGAAGTCCGGGTAGAGGATGCGGCGGCCGGTGGCGGAATCGATTAGGGCCGCGGTGGACGGGTGTGGAGGCGAGGCGCGGAGGTGGGAGAAGACGTAGTCGGCGACGGAAAGCGGCGTCGTTTCGGGAGGGAGCGGGGCTTGAGGTCTGAGGCTGCGGAAGGTCCCAGAGTCGGAGCAGAAGCCGCTGTTCGGATCTATGGCGGAGGTTCGGTCTTGGTTCTGGAGCGCCATTGAAGAAGAACAAGAAAGGTTTCGCTGTCGGGGTTTTTGGTTTTGGTTTTGAGCTTGTTGTTGGCGTCACGTACGTGTACGGTGGAAGTGTTGTGGCGGCCAATGAGAACAAGAACTAGAATGTGCCACCTGGCAATTATCGTTAAATTTCAAAGTTTAATAAGTTATCCTTAATTTCACTTATTTAAATTTAAATTTTAAATTTTATTACAATAAAATTCTTAAAAAAAAATCACATTTAATTTTTTTATTATAATACAAAATTTTTACATAAAATTATATCTCAATTCAAATTAACGAATTAAATAGTCGGCTCTCTGAACAAATTTGTGAGATTCCAGGCCCCAGCTAAAAAGATTATTTTAAAAATAAAAAAAAAATTGTTGTAAGTTTACTTGTTAACCAGTAGGCAGTAGTCTACTGTTGTTGTGTGACAATTGATGATGATATGAAACTAACACTTCATGGAATTTCAAATCATGTTTTAGTATAATCCTACACAGCAACTCTTTTTAAATTTAGAGTGTGTTTATTAAACTATAAAGAAATATAATGGAAATGATAATAGGATTAAAAAGAAAAGTAAAGTTTTTCTTTCTTATGTTTACTAAAATTAAGAATATCAATTTTATGAATATAATCACTAAAGTATCATTTTAGACAATTAAATGCTCATTGATTATATAGTAATTCATCAAGTATAAAATAAGTCAATTAAGCATTCATTCTCTTTGGTAAGAAATTAATATTAAAAGGGATATAAGGATTAGTATTCCATTTTCTCATTTGCTATATTGTGTTGGGCTCACTAAATCTTTATTATTAATTTTATAAGTAAATAATTATTATATGGGAAAGAAAATCACTCCTTAATTTCCTTTTTCCTTTGATGCAAGGTAAACATGTCCTTAAATTATTAGGCGGTGAACAAAAGTCTGGGATTCAAAAGTGGATCTTACTAGAGATTGTTGGATCGTATTTTTTTTGTACTTTTGACATTCCATGCAATATTTCTTTCAGAGCGCTCTGGCCGTGGGAAGCAGTAAGCACAAATGAAAAATGGTTCATGCGTCTAAATTAAGGCTCCGTTCATTTCACCGATTTGAGTTTAGAATTCGAGTTTTGCTACAGTAAAAATCTCTCAGAAACAGTCACATATAACTTTTTTGCTACAGTAAAAAATTCTCACATAAAATCACATATTAACTCGAATTAAAAACTTGAATCAGCGAACTGAACGAGCCTTAAGTCTAGTTAACATGCTAGGCACACTATTACCAAAGGTCTTACTCGTTTTGAGGCTAATGCCAGACTTTTCGGAAAAATATTTGAGGCACTACTTGCGTTTACAGCACAATTAACGGAGAATAGACTCCATCTACGAATCTCATGTTGTAAAATCTATTTTTTTATTGTTGTATAATGTTTAAATACATCTTAGCATTACTTACTTTTTGCATCCATGGAGCACCACCACATTTGGTAAGGCCCAAGTCATGTCATATGTAAATAGGCATGTGGTTGTTCAATACAATGGTCTTAGAGAAAAAAATGACAAATGTTCCTTAAATGGGTACTATTAAGGATTTTTAAATCTCAAAATTGACCCTATAATTTTTGCCCCTTTAGATTAAAACAAGTTAAAGGTCCAACATATCTAATACTAAAATTACCCCTAATGCTCAAAAAGTAGATTACCACCGGAAATTTACATCCCACCGCCGGAGACAATCTCCAGCCACCGGTGTCGGATGTTGCCGGTGGGTCTCCGGCCGCTGCCTGCCGGAGGCAATAATTTGACAATATGTTCATAATTTAATAGATTATCTTCTATAATGTTTTTTCTTAAGAGTGCATGAGTCTAAATTTTTATCTTTCGTTATTGATTAATACTTTTTTATTAGTAAATGATAAAAATCTTGAACTGCACACTTTTAAAGAGTATTTATCTCCTTTCCACATTGATTTATCATGGTCCAACAATGACGATTCAAGAATCAAAATGGGCCTTTGATCTGGAAGATGTCTCTAGAAGCTTTAAGGTATGTTTGTTATATGAGAGAAAAATATTATAATAAAAGAGTTGAATTTAAATTTTTATGAAAAAAAATACTGTAATAAGAAAAAAAAAAAAAAAAACCTTAATTTCTCTTACTTGGCAACGTCACAGAGGGAAGTCAACTCTCCGACCGTCAACCAATTCACTAATTATTATTGAAACTAACAGAAAAATTTACAGTTAATTTTTACCAAAATTTCAGGAAAAAGAACAAAATGCATGCCTGGTTTGCGCACGAATAGGCACAAAGTCCTTATAAAACGTGTACCAGTATTGTCCGAATCATGCATTCATTGCCTCATCTCACGCCTCGTTCATTTCACCGATTCGAATTTTCAATTTTAAGTTTTTACAGTAAAAAGCTCTCAGAAAATGTCACATCTAATTTTTTTCTACTACAGTGAAAAACTATCAAAAAATATCACATCTCAACTCGAATTCGCGAAGTGAACGAGACCATATCCCTCCCTTTGGCGAGAAACTCATAGGCGGTCTCAATCCCAATGTTTTTTTTTTTAACCCAAAAGAAAAAGAGAAAAAACAGTAATTAAACTTTCCCTTTATTTGTTTGTTTGGAGCAACTATAGGACACCAGCGTTAGAAGATGATTTCTGTAAGTGTGGGACTCAGAAGTTAAATTTTCCTTCTATTAGTGATGGTATTGAACACCAATAATACTCCTAAGCATTTTTTTCCGTTTGTTTGTCATCATGTGATTCATGTCTCAATTCCGTAATTTTTTCTTCGAAAAGGGCAAAAAAAAAGATAAAGATGTACATACAAATAAAGAAAAAAAGGGCAAAGATTCCATTTCTCCAAGTCCCAAGTTAAAAAAGCATAATTGAAGGGAAAAAATGCCAGGAAAAAGAAAATTCTTAAGACAATGACAAAAAGCAAAAGTCATTGTGAGTCCCTAATAAATCCTACGGCCAAGGAATTACGTTAAAATAATTGATTTTTTTTCTTTTAAGCAAAGAATATTAAACAGAAATAATACATATTACTCAAATAATGAGTGACGAATAATTTTAGTAAATAATTATTCTGTTAATTTCTTCTCGTCCAGTCGCACAAAAGTATAATCACACAGTAAAAATTATTATTTTTTCTACTATATCTAATTTTCTTCTTAATTTACTTAATCTAGTGAACTTCGAGAGTTTATTAATGGCAACTAACAACATTAATGGAAGTAAAAATTTAATATAAGAGAAAAATTTGTAAAGAGTTACTAAAATTCTAAAAAAAGAAAAATTAAAATTAAAATTTTAAAAGCATTTTATAACATGGTCTATAATATAAAGAAAAACGTATAATATCACTCAGTAATTTCTTTTTTAAAAAAGAAAAAGAAAAAGAAAAACAGTCTATACAAAAAAAAAAAAAAAGCGAGGCAAAGATCCCATATTCCAAATCCCGAGTTAAAAGAAGCATAATTGAAGGAAAAAGATGTCATAAAAAAAATCTTAAGATATTGACAAAAACATAAGTCATGTTGTGAGTCCTACTAAATTGGTCCTAATAACATTCAGGAAAAAAAAATGGTCCTAATAAATCCTACGGCCAAAGGTAGAAACTTTCTAACTTACGTTAAAATAATTGATTCTTTTATATATATATATATATGTGTGTGTATGTATAAGCTCTAAAGAGAATGTGTCAGTTGGGGTCGATCTGATTTTACACGATGCTCCTAATAAATCCTATGGCCAAAGGTAGAAACTTTCAAGTTACATTAAATAATTGATTTTCTTTTTTATAAGCTCTGGAGAGTGAATGTGTCAGTTGGGGTTGATCTGATTATTTTACCCTCTAAAATTCACCTGTAAGTCTGTAACAAAGCTTCTCAATCGCAAGTAGAAGCTTTTAAGGATCCAAAACTCAACTGGGGTCTTCAGTCTTTACCCGTTTTCTGCACCAAAACAAACGACACTTTTTTCGGGAATCAGATTTCCTTGTCAAATCCCAATCAAACTCATGGCGGACCCTCATGCACCAAAAAAAGACTCACCGCCAACCCCAACTGACCAAACCCCTCTTCTCAATTCATCTCAAAACCACCGAGAAGAACAAAGTGGAGGGTCAAGGAGAGAAGAAAACGACGATTTGAGTCAGACCCTTGAGAGGTTAGACAAGTTTCTTACTTTTCTTGGGTTCAACCAGTCTTGTTTGTTGAGCCTTGTCTTGTCTTGGGCTGCTTTTTTGCTCATCGGGGTCTTGCTTCCGGTTCTTGTTCTCGAGTTCTCCGGATGTCCCGGGACTGAGAAGTACCAGATTAAGGAATTCGAGCTCGACATCGTCGCCTCGCAGGCGTGTCTCGCCGCCGTCTCTCTGCTATGCGTCTCCCACAACCTCCGCAAGTATGGCATAAGGAGATTCCTCTTTGTTGACCGCCATACCGGCTATATGTTGCGCTTGAAAGACGATTACATCAACCAGATATCGGTGAGTACTGGGTAGTGTTTATTTTTTTGTGTTGGTCGTTTCTGAATTGTGAACTGTGAATTGTGTGTTTGTATTTGTAGTTTGTATTGGAAGGTTAAGATATGTTTGTGGAAATGTTTTGAGTTTTGAAGAATGCTTCTGTATATTGCTAGTTCTGTGACTAATTATCACCTCTATAGTGCTTCTAAACATGTGTTTGTATCACATGTTTATATGAATTGTGCAGGATTTTATTTCTATGCACAAGTATTGCACATTAGGAACGTAGGAATGCAATGGTTGCACACAATCTTTTCGAGTTTTGAACAATGCTTCTATTGCTAATTCTAGGATTAGTTACCACCTTGATGTTATGAAGAATCAATACTTTTTATAAGGTTTCTGGAATTCCAAACCGATGGGGTATGTTAATGTAATTGGATATGGTTTTGGAATCTTCTAAGTCCGTTGAATTATGTCTAAAATAAGAAAGCAAAACATCAGACCCTTATGGAACTAGTGCTACTCTTTTTTTTTTTTTTTTTTTTTTTTTTTGAAGGAGGGAAGAATACAGTCACACGGCTAAGCTGAAAATACTTCCCTGATCACAATAGTGTAGATGTGTAAAGTTAGATTTATGTTCTAAAGCATAAGAGTTTGGTTTTCATGTTTTACTTGATGCTTTGTTGGTATTCCTAGTTTTTCTTACTCAAAACGGTTTGCTTGGATGATACTTTTGCAGGGTTCTTTTCGCTTGCTTGTTTTGTGGGCACTTCCATGCTTCCTTTTAAAGACCGTGCGCGAGATTGTACGTATGTTATACGTAGAACAGAAATCAGGGTGGCATTCTGTCGCCATCTTAATGGCATTGGTGATATCGTGGGCTTATGTGAGTACAATTTCTCTAACAGCCAGCATTATGTTTCATTTGGTCTGCAATTTGCAAGTTATCCACTTTGATGATTATGGGAAGCTCTTGGAAAGAGAATCTGATGTTTTGGTCTTTATAGAGGAGCACATCCGACTGCGCTACCATCTCTCTAAGATAAGCCACCGGTTCCGAATCTTTCTAGTCCTACAGTTCTTAGTTGTCACAGCAAGCCAATTTGTGACTCTATTCCAGACCACAGGATATAGTGGATTTATTACTCTTGTTAATGGTGGTGATTTTGCTGTAAGTTCAAGCAAGCACTAGACTTTTGGGACTTCTCTAATTGAGAAAATGCATGATTCAACAAAAACACTAATTCGTTCCCTACATTTCAGGCCTCCTCCATTGTTCAGGTTGTTGGGATTATTCTCTGCCTTCACGCAGCAACGAGAATTTCGCATAGAGCACAAGGCATAGCATCACTTGCAAGTCGGTGGCACGCATTAGTAACATGTGGTACTACTGATCATCCCAGCCACAGAGGTTCAAATAATAATATGCAGACTTTAGAGGCTGCCCAAGCATTAAATTCACTAGTTTTGAATTACTCGGAGAGTGATTTGGAGTCGATGGATTATGTTGCGATCCCTACGCATACTCAACTGGCTTCTTACATGTCATCTTACCACAGAAGGCAAGCGTTTGGTAAGGATTCCTTTCTTCCATATACAAAACACTTTTCGAGCAAGGTTTATGCTGATTTGGTAAGTTGTCTTGTGTTTGACTAGTTTTGCTTTAGAAAAAGAAAGATGCGCAAGTTATTTACGTGGTTTTTTTTTAAAAACGGGGTCCAAAAGGAATTTGTGCTTCAATAATAAGAATGCATTGGTAGCATCCTTCTTTTGATTTGTTGGACTTTTGACTCAAACCCATTTATTCTTTAGTTTCTTATGCCGATTAATTTATTTGGCGAGATGCAGTGTTGTATTTGCAAACCAATCCAGGGGGTATAACGATATTCGGGTGGACCGTTGATCGTGCTCTTATCAACACCATCTTCTTCATTGAACTCACACTGGTTACCTTTTTGCTTGGGAAGACCGTAGTTTTTACATCAAAATAAACATGTTCTACAACGCCATGGTTGCTCAACAATCAAAGTTAGAAAATTGTCCAGACTTTACAGGCCTACGTTTGATTTCAGCCCCAAATAGTTCTCAATCACCATGTTTGGTTCGGTACCGACACTATTATACCAAAAGCCTCTTGAAAGTTGTTGCCGGTGGTTCGGAATGCCCGTACGTTTCTCCTCTTAATTCATGCTCCATACCAACTTGATCGGATTTCATCAACTAGGAGTAACATGAATCACAAGTTATTTACTTTTTGAATCTTTTATTCCTTTTATTTTTTATTGTCCTTTTAACGGATATGTATTGTATTCCTTTTATTTTTTATTGTCTCTTTAACGGATATGTAATTATACATACAATCGAGTAAATTGTCTTCGCTGTAACTTTTTCTTCGTTTGTAACTATGAACTCTCGTGCTATGTTTGGTATGAGGGGGAAAAAAAAAAAAAACGACAATCTGTGTGAGGAAAACTCCTCTCTCGTCATGTTTGGTATTTTTCATAGGTTAATCTCCATTCTTTGGAGATATCGAATTTGAAATTCGAACCCTCTCTTTTCTCTTCCGCCAAACAATCATGGGTACTAAAATTTTCCTCCATTAATCCGCCCAGTCATCTCTTTCCTTCCACACTACCTCCTACCAGAGAAGCACTCAGAGCAACTAGTTTTACTTTAAAATGGAGGAAAGAGAAGGGGGGAAAGCAAGAAAAAACATGTAAATCGGGGCTCAGAAGTTAAAAGAGTACTGCCCAACTGCCCTTCATGTATAAATTGCTATTAACCAAGTTTGAGGTCGATTGCTTATCAAAAAAAAAAAAAGAAGAAAAGAAAGAGGTTGAGTGGCTCTTACAACTAGTTAAATTCAGGCATGATATCCCATTCCCATTACTATTTACTTTTATTAACCATCGATTATACCTTTGTGAAACCTTTTTTAATTCACAAAAAATCTAAACGAAAGACAAATAAGAGATTTGATTTCCGCAGTATGCCACGAACTACAAAACCCAATTAACTCCCGAGATTGAGATTTGCTTGGCAGAGGACAGAGGAGCAGAATAACTACAGGCCAAAAACAACAACGAACGCTGAATAAGCTGGGACACAGGATTTCATAACATGAAACACAAGGTAAAATGTGCCCAACACTCGTTAGCACGAAACGCAACTCATCCGCCTGTTAGCAAATGCATGTGTGCCTGTGCGATTCTCATCAGCCACCACCAACTACGAACAATAGTCTTTCTATATGGTAAAGTACGTTATAATGCGACCTAAGCACAAGGATAAGCCTCACATGATAATACATACAATAAGCGAATGGGAAGTGGACACTTGCTATTCAATCTCCAAGCAAACCCATTCCTCCAGCTATCGCCTATAATACAATTGTACCAACAAACATAAGCAACAATGACCAAACATGGAAATAACAGGCTTTCCATATATGATATCCCATTCCCACCCAACATCATTACTTGTACCCAACAATAGATAAGTGGAGGGGCACAGATTCAGAAATACATTAATGCCAAACTAATCAGGCAACCAACCTCATGTGAAATCTGTCTCTGTGTGTGTGTGTGTGTGTATCTACGTATTATAAACGAAAAATTGGGACCTTGGATGCAGTCAATGAAATATATGTGTAGATAGAAATTACACATTCCGTCTTTCCAGTCAAACTCCGAACACATAGATGCGATGAACTGATTATTCACAGACCATATATCTTCTTAACAAACTCTAAACTATCAAAGCTTTTCTTCTACTTGCATTTAAGAGTATAGTAATGCACTCTCTAAACCAGATTCTGCCATCTTAAAATAGGTCAATACACTATTATTGCTGAATTTTTTTTTTTTTAAAAAAAAAAGGAAAAAGGAAAAATCTAATGCCCACAGTTTCAACATGACTGGAGTTCTTACTTTCCATTTTTTCTTGTCACGTTAAAAATATTTGCCGACATCCATCTCAGGGCCGTGTCAATGTCAAGATATAAACGGGAGAGAAGTCAGAATAAATAATTTATTTGTCTTTTTAAACATGTTTATAGCCATTCTCCATAACAGACAGCAAACTAAATCGACCCAGACGATTGTTATCACATAAAAACTTGAAAGTACGAAGGAGAGCTAAAGAAAAAGAAAATAACAGATTTGTTAATTTGACATAGTGTAACAAAACAAAGTTTGTAAAGTACCTCTAGTGAGTCTGAAGGAACAACTAATTGAAGTTTTATATATTCCAGGTGATGCAGGTAACCTCCTCAACCTGCTTGCTTTAATACTGCAGTGACATTTGCAGACAAATGTCATAAAAATTCTGGGGCTAGTGAAAACTATTTTCACAACCACCAACAAAGGATGAAAAGAAATGGGGGAGAAAAAAGAAGAGCGAATCAATTTTTCATTCGCATTCTTATTACGTAAGGAGGTCGCATTATTGATCCACAAATCATTGGAAGGGGCACCGAACGAAAGAAGCACAGATGTCATAGCAGCATAACAGAAATATAGCCTAAAGGTCAAGCAAGTTAGTATTGACCATCAGAAACTTACAAGTATAAAAATTCTCTTAATTCAGGCGATAAATTTTCACTGGAAAAAAATATGACATGCGAACTTTGGATGACTAATACCAGCTCAGGTCTGGGGAAAAGTTCAGCTCATTTGCACAAGAAAAAGAAAATCAAAAGGTGAAAGCTGCATAGTTAACAAAATACAAACACAAAACGGACACCAGAAAATTGACCGTTTAAGTTAAAGACAGCCTATACCCAAGGTCCAATTAGTCACAAGGCAATAAAAGAAGATACAGAGAGGGGAAGAAAAACTCATCTATCACAACTAACACCATATATTGATATCCTAAAAGGACTTTCACGATCCCATTGACTGACCAAATTAACGATATCCCATAATTCAAGGTCCAATTAGTCATATGTTAGACAAGACAATGAAAGAAGATTAAGAAGGGGGAAAAAAACTCATCTATCACAACAAACACCAAATTGATTTCCTAAATAGACTTTTCGTCTTTCACACTTTCTAAAAGAAATATACAAATAGGATTACCATGTACAAGACTTGGTGTACCCTTTCATAACTCATGTTACTAATAATAGTGATTCATCAAACTAATAAGCCATTACCAGAGTAACTGAACTAAAACCACTACGTTTTGTATAATTATTACAAAACCCTGTTTCAATGCATCATATCCTTCATAGATCAGAAGCATAGAAGTGCTCCCTGAAAAAGATTCCATATATATCGAATAAATTACCTTATAATGTATTATCGTTACTGTCAAAGTTGTCGTCAATGAAAAGCATCTCCTCCAATTCCTCAGTTCACACCAACCGACTCTTGCAAACACAATGTGAATATTAAATATGTTCTAATGTCACTGATAGGCTAATATTCAAAACCACATGAGAAAAAATTGTTTACAATGTACCAATGAAATTATGTTACATACACAAGTTTCAGCTGAAACTGATTTTCACTCTCTATGAAAGGCAATTATGCCCGATCTCTAAGCAAAGTAGCGCCACTTTCTTGTGATGATAAAAGCTGAAAAGAAAAGTTAAACTGCAACAATGTGGTTGAGAGTAGGCAAAAGTGTGCATATCTCCCCTCCAAATTATCACAAAGTGCCTGCTAAAAAAACAGCACAAATGACGTCTAACATACAATCATTGCAACTTCCGCTCAAGGAAGTGTCTCTCACCTCAACCATGTACAATCAGTCAGAGTTGTAAATAATTGAAGTGCAGGAATCAATATCACTGTCACCAGTTTATTTCTCTTAGCCAAATACACCACCAGTCCCCAATTCCCCCTGCTGCAACTCCTTTCTACGTTGCTCTTCTAAAGGATCTGGACTCTTCATTATTCTCCGTGTACGCCTGGTTACATCGTAGACATAAAAAATGATTATAATTTATATCTAAGGATAGATGAGAATCAATAGCATTTTCACAGAAAATATCAAAATACCTGTCTTGTGCATGTTGAGCTGGAAAGGTAGGCATAAACTCTTTAGATTTGGGTAGAGGAACTTCCTGGAACCACTCATGATTCAGAGCATCCTCTGCTGTAATTCTCTGCAAAGAGAACCAAGTCGCCTATAAGTCACTGTGACAACATTATTACAATAAAGCAACTAAGAGAAGCACAGATAAGCAAATTACCCTCTCAGGGTCATAAGTCAGAAGCCTGTTCAACAAGTCAAACCCAGAATCAGAGAGAACTGGAGATCCTGTAAATGATGTTGCTGGGAACTTCTTACGCAAAAGGTTATACCTGAAAGAAACAGGTCCGCTGTTAATATATACACAGAATAAAGTGAGAAACAGACATTCCACCAACGGAGGCCAGATAGCCAGGTCAGAATCACCCAAAGCAGGTAGCCTGGGAAAACAGCAGCAATAATAAGAGAACTTAGTATCACATTCAAAGAAAAAACTACTTCCAGAAAATAATCATACTTACTGATGCTTAACAAAGTTGACCTTCACCCCAGGCAACTTGGAATATCCAGGCCAAATTGTCTCATTTGGTGTCCCAAGAATTCTGAAAATCTGCAGTTAGTGCAAAAAAAAAAAAAAAAAAAAAAAAAAAAAAAAAAAAAAAAAGAAAAAAGAAAAGAAAGAAAGGTCTAAGAGATTTGAACAAATAATGAACTGAAGAAATGATGAAGCATACAACTACACCAATATACCTTGTCAAGTTGATCGAATTCAGTTTTCCCATTAAACAGTGGTTCCTTTGACAATAGTTCAGCCATGATGCAACCCAAAGACCACATATCAATTGCTGTTGAGTATTGTTTTGCTCCCAGTAGAAGTTCTGGCGCCCTGAATAATGTAAAATTGACAACTTAATATTCCCTGATACCAGATTATGCAACAAAAATTGCCATACAAAAATTATTGGATTCTATTAAAAAAAAAAAAAAGGGAAGCAAACTTTCTACAAAAAACCACCTCCGTGCAAACAAAACAGAAGAACATAGAGAGAGAGAGAGAGAGAGAGAGAGAGAGAGAGAGAGAGAGAGAGAGAGAGAGAAACTCAAGAGTGGGAAGAAATACCGCAAGAGAAGTAACAAAACCAAATAGGAAAAGTGAGGTGATGAATAAACAATTAAGTTGGAAAAAACCATCTGTGAAAAACAAAGCTAAAAAGACACGCAATTCAGCTCACCTGTACCAAAGAGTTACGACCAAATGAGTATATGGCTTCAAGGGGCTCCCATATTGACGAGCCAACCCAAAATCACATATCTTCAACTCACCCCGATTATTCAAAAGCAAATTGGAAGTCTTTAAATCCCGATGAAGCACCCAATTATCATGAAGATATTTAATGCCTTCCAACAGCTGAAGCACAAGGCATTTAACTTCGCTCTGACTGAAAGGCTGTTTCATCGTCTCCATGAGTGCCTTCAGATCATGTTCCATGTACTCCATCACCATAAAGATGCTATCCAGGCTACTACCCACCACCACTTCTTTAACATCGACAATTGATGGGTGGTGAAAAGACAGAAGAATGTTAATTTCCCTAAGTGAAGTCAAAGGAAAACCTTCTCTTTCCTTCTCCATCTTTACCTTCTTCAACGCTACAATTTCGCCTGTTTTCTTATCCCTAGCTCTGTAGACGACACCATAAGTCCCTTCATCTATCTTGTTTAGTCTCTCAAATTCATCTACACTTCTACAACCCTGAAGCATGTTTACACTTCTTTGTGGAGGAGCTGCGGGCTCAGGTGGATTAGGAGAATCACTTTCATCCTCGGAATCAGTGTACGATCGACTACGATTAGTAGCATTTTGGTTTTCCTCGTCGTCAACCTCCATGTAGTCATCCATCTCGGAATCATTATCATCACGGTAGTCATCCCTACTCGAAGACCGAGTAGGAGCACCTCGTTCATCAGATTCTGATGATCTTCCTCTAGACCGTTCAGAGCCATCTCTCTTAAACTCCCCGAGCTCAGGAGTCAATGACTTATTGCGTATGCCCAATGACTCTGGAACCGGCACTTTCCTCCTCCTTTTAGGCATTCCCTCATCGTCCAAAATTTCACCTTCATCGCCGGGAGAATTATTTCCTTCTGCCCATCTGGAAGATGATATATTCCGGGTCGGAACGTAGTCTTCATCTTCTGGTTGCTCAGCTTCTCGATCGTTTTCCAATTGCTGCTCTGCTTCTCCTGGGGAATCAGTCGCACCATACTCGTGTGACCCAGCTTCTGCCGAACACTCAACTGGAGGAGAAGATTGCAGATCCTCATTCTGATTGTTGTTTATTGGCGAAATCTGTACACTACCATCTGGAACAACAAACTGACGATATACCTTAGGCAGGGGCGGCGGCGGAGGAAGTGCTGTAACTGGTGCTGTAGTTGTGATCCTACCACTTTTCGTTGTATTAGTCACTACTTTTTCATCCCTATCCCAAATAATAGGAGAAAACTTCCTTTTCCGCTCTGCAGGAGACTTGGTCCCATTTTCCGCCACCTTATCTTTAGCAAGCGATTCGGACTCGGTGGCCCCATCAGACCCACTTTCACTTGACAACTCACCCGGCTCTCTATCCCCGGCCTTGACAGAGAATTCACATCGCTTAGGCCCAGGGCGACCGTCCCCACCGCCACTGCTACTGCCTGAATCGCTCATACTTGAAGGCAAGCGATGATCTCCATTTACTGCTTCTCTCTCTCTGACATCCTTCTGCCTAACCCTAATCCTATCCCTCGTATCCCGAATTCTACCCCTTTCGTTTCCACGGCTTCCATTCCTAATCCTCTCATAATCCTCCTTAGCAGTAGCGAAATCCCGCCTGGACAATTCAAAATTAGACTCCCGGTCCCTAAACTCGTTGTCGCGATAACCTCCATGCCTTCCAGCAGCCATGGATTTCTCTACGTAAGCTCTACGTACCGAAAAGGCAGAAAAACCTAATTCGAATTGAATTACGGCACACAAAACCCAAAACCTAAACAAAACTTAGTTACAAACACAAAATTCCCCCAATTTCAAACCAAAACAATTACAAAATCAAAAACTAAAGCCCAATCCAGAAATCTCAGATCCAAAGCAATAGAAGACTAAAACAAGAACGCATAAAACACCAAAAAAAAAACTCAAAATAGACCTAAAACAGTAGAGCTTTTCAGCGTCGAAACGTTGTTGATCAGATGAGCATCGAGAACCAAGAAATTGGGGGCATGAAACAAAGAGAAACCCTAGAATCAAATAGAAGCACACTTATGGGACGGCCATGCGAGATAGGCTTTGTGAGGGGGAGAGAGAGTGGGCTTACCGGCGAGAGAGAAGGCGGCGACCGCCGCTTCCGTAGAGAGAGAGAGAGAGACGACAGCACTCAATCGCAGTCAGAGACCGAGAGAAGGTTTTCGGTGGGTTGAGGATTTGGCTTTTGGCTGGCTGGGACGCCAATTGATGATGGGTCTCGACTTTTATTCTGTTTTAGTTTAATAATTAATTAATTAGGTCATGAATTTTTTGAGAAAATAAAAAAATAACCCTTCAGTTTTCTCTAAATACAACTTTTACCCCGGAAATTTTTAAAATCTAAAAAGTATCCATGTGTTTTTCAATCCATAACCATAAGTATCTCTTCTTTTAACTTTTCAAGTTTAATTTTTCTTAAAATTACCAAATTATCCTTAAATATCTCATATTATTATTATTAATTTTTCTTAAATATCTCTTTTTTTAACTTTTCACTATTTATTGCCTGAAATTCCGTTTATGTCCCTTATTCTTTGAGTCTAAATTGTCAATTTTACCCTTTTTTTTCTTCTCTTTTACCCTCTATGTGTATGGGCTTTTGCGTCTTTTGTTCTAGGATTGCAACGTATCGACGTCCGGCTGGCCGAAAGAAAAAGCGGTGGGGCCCACCACTGCAAAGTTGCCCTCTTCCCCTAGCTAACGCGCTTTTCTTGCGCGTGCTTTTCACGCGTGAATCACAACCGTTGAAATTTTTGATCGGACAATTTCAAACAATTTTCGGTTTATTTTTTAGATTTTTATTCTTTATTATAATCATTTATTCTTTTGAATTGATTTGGAGTTCAATTTTGTCTGTTTTACCACCGTTTTGTGCCTAATTTTTTATATTACTTAAATAAAAATGCCATAAATAATACAATAAAATTAAATAAAAATATGCTAAATTAAAATCAAATAACACCAAATTAAATAAAATAGAATTAATTTAAAACACAATGAAATAAGTTAGATTACTTTCTCTATCTCTTTACTTAAGATTTTCTCCCTTTATTATTTTCATTTCTTTTATGTTGTCTTTTTTACTTCTTTTTTTTTAAACAATTTGTGTTAGCTGTTATTTTAAATTAATCATATGCGCGTAGTGCGCGTTTGAGACTAAAACTAAACAAAGACTAAAAAATAAAATCATTGAAAAATAAAGGTGCTGATTTATGGTCTAATTTTACCCATTTCAATATCATTTTGCGTTAAATTTTCAAAGCCTCTCAAATGATAATAGTTTAAATAATTTGAATGAAAAATACAATTAAATAAAAATACACTAAAATAAAATAAAGTCACACTTTTTTAAATAAATTAAACTATAAATTACTTTAGTGGTTGGAAGAGCAGCACAAACATTGATAAAAAAACCATGCTCTATATTAACAAATGATGAACATTAACAATTGGTAAAGGCTTTACTAATCCATTTGTAATTCCACCAATCATTGCTCAGTTAAAAGGACAAACAAAAATCTTGCAAGTTTATTTTCAACAAAGGGGAGCAAAAATAACTAGAGTTGTTTCAAAAATATTTAAAGATGTCCATCTTTCAATATCACTACCACAAATATCAACTGTCATAACAATAGATCTAAAAACACCATATCCAAAAGGATTGACCACAAGGTAAGACATATTTACTAATTTATATCAATTATCAATAAAAATCAACATTTACTATTTTAAATACATATATTAACAATCTTTAATCAATTCAGTTCTGAACCAAAGGCAACAGACCCACTCAGAAACGCTCAAGGACCAAGTAATATAACTACTTTTAAATCCTTTGTTCTACACAAGATTTTTAACTTCTTTAATTATTATTATTAATTTTTAAAAAAATTTGTATTTTGTAGTTAAAAAGAATAAAAGAAAAAAAGGAAACAAAATATATAATACATTGTAAGAAACTTTTAACTCTATATATATGTACATATAAACTAATCCTATACTATAAAATTTTATAACTTTTTATATAATACAACAGTATTTTTCGCAACAACGCGAGAGTTTTTGGCTAGTACTAACTAAATTTTTGTTGGACTATACTAATTTCAAAATACCCCTCTTAGATTTTCTTTTTTTTTTAAGTAAATCTCTTGAGAAATTTACGGCACTAATTTAAAAAAGTATTTTGTTTTTTGTCTTTTTTTAAAAACAGAGGATATACTTTTTGAATTTTAAAATATTCATAGATAAAAAATTGTATTTAGACAAAACTAAGGGGATATTTTGTGAATTTTCTCCTACAAAATGAGATAACATGTTCTTAATAGGGGTGATTATTTGCTAGCATAGCCTAATGATAATACCATACATTATTTCACTATAACGTGAAGGTTCGAATTCCAGACGCTTAAGTTTGAAAAAAATCTAAAAAAAGTTATCAACTTTTTTCATTTTGTTGTTTTTTTCAAATATTTTAATGTTTTAAAATATTTTCATTTTTTAAAAAATATTGATTTTTATTTATTAATAAGAATGATAGTTTTGACAATACTTCTCAAAAATTAATTTAAGGGTATTAAAAAAATATTTTTAAAAACATTGTGGTATCATTTTAATAAAATCAAAATTATAAGATACTAAAAATATGTTTCATTATAATACTAAATACTAAAATGATTTTGTTCCTTAAAAATTAAAGAAAAAGGGTGGCGGAGATTTATTTTTTGTTTTTAAAATTAGTGGTTTCCAATTTTTTTTTAGTGCATTTATGCTTAAAAAAGTCTACTTTGTTTTATCACTAGGAACTATGTTTTAACTGTTTTTAATAGTCTGATTTAATACAAGAACAGTTTTATATGCTGTAAAGTTTAACACAAACATGACAAAACTACCAATTAAAAAACTATTTAACAGTAAAAATAATAATTTCTATTAATAAGACTAAAATACACGCGCTGCAATCAAAGTTTAAAATTTAGCAAACAAAAACCATAAAAATTTTTAGTAAAAAACTAATGGCGCGTTTGGAACTCGTTCTAAAATGATTTTATTTTTTATATAAAAATAAAAATGAAAACGTTTTCAATCTCAGACATAAATCATTTTTAAAAATGCGTTTGGTAGTTTTATCAAGAGATTATTTTCAGTGTAAAAAAACCTATTAATGTCTCTATTTCTCTCTTTTTGCTCAAGAGAGGAAAAAACGAAAACAAAAAATGAAAAATAATTAAAAGTTGTTTTTCATTTCTCTATCATTTTATACTAAACTAAAAAATCGTTTTCATTTTCATTTTTTGTCTTTATTGCGCCAAATGTCATTTTGAAAACGTTTTCATTTTTTCTTTCTCAAAAAACGTGAAAAATAAATACGATATCAATTCCAAACACGGCCTAAACGTCACCTTTTTCAACAACAAAAATGTTGCAATTTTTTTTTTAAAACAAACAAACATTGCAGTTTGTTGTGAAGACGGGAATGGGTAATTTACAGAGCCCAAGGAAAGATTCCTTATGGTTCACTATAAATTAGTTTGGAACTCGTTCCAAAATAATTTTATTTTTTGTATGAAAATGAAAATGAAAACGTTTTCAATATCAGACATAAATCATTTTTGAAAATGTGTTTGGTAGTTTTATCAAGAGATTATTTTGAGTATAAAAAAAACTCATTAATGTCTCTCTATCTCCTCGAGATAGGAGAAAAAAAAAATAAAAAGTCGTTTTTCATTTCTCTCATATTTTACACTAAATCAAAAAATTATTTTTATTTTTATTTTTTTATCTTTAATTATGTTGAACGCTGTTTTAAAATCATTTTTATTTTTTCCTTCTAAAAAAATGTGAAAAATAAAAATAAGAACAATTACAAACACGAAGCATAATCACATCTCTTTCCTCACCCCGTTGCCATGTTTCATGTGGTCTTTCCAAAACATATTCGGCCCCTCACTAGCAAAGAACTAAAATGTCGTCTAAACTTAAAAATTTCAAGAGGAGAATTATTATTAAATTATAGAGTGTGTCTCAAATTAAAAATGAATGGCCCTTTTTATAGCGTTTAGTGGAGACAATAATTTGCTCTCTTTTATATGTCGGACGAGATAATTTTACTTTATATTGTTATAATTTAACTTTAATTAATTAAATAAATGTGTAGGTTGAAGGCTTTGTTCTACTTCTTCCTACTTGTTTTTCTTTCTTTCTTTCTTTCTTTTTTTTTTTTTTTTTTTTTTTTTTTTTTTTTTTTTTTTTTTTTTTTGTAATTTAGAGGTTTCTACAATGGGTTTGAAAAAAATAATAATAATAACTATAGGTCTCCATTCTTCAAGTGTCAGATCCATAAAAAAACAATTTTTTATATATTTTATTTTTAATGTGATTTTAACTAAAGCCAACTGTTGGAAAGGCACTAAGTATTGCCATAAATAAACCAAAATATATTATTTTTAAAATAAATATTTTTCCATTCCATTTGCCAAATATCCCATATTATTATTGGTATTACGAATCTTTCACGAGTTTGTGAGAATAAAAGGACCACAATATAACTGCAAAACAATGTGACATAAAAAACGACGATAAAATAAGAAAGGAAAGAAAACGACATCATCCGGAAAACGATGACAAATGATAACGACAATATTTGAAAACATTAATAAACAAAACGACATCATACAAACGACATGTGAAAAGCAACTACCACCTCATGAAGGACGCTAACGACATAACGGCAATGAGTGAAGTAGACTTAACAAGGAGATAAACTGAAGAAGTAATAAACGACATAATCTGAAAAAGATTATAAACTACGAACAAAAATACACTACAAACGTCCCCTGTAAAGATACACTACAACGACATTGGGTACGTTTGGGATAGCTTATGCCTTGTGTTTTTAAATAGTAGAAGAAAATAAATATAAATTGAAGTTTTTTAATTAATATTTGAATAGTGTTTAAAAAAATATTTTTATATCTAAAACGAGCTTTTAAACCTGTTTAGGTAAAAAAAATCAAAAACACTTATGGTTATAGAAAGTTATATAATAAAAAAATATGGATGATATATTTAATTCACTGTTCACAAATAAAAGATTAAAAATGTACATAAAAATATTTTTTATAAGCACTTTTTTCATAAACACTAAAGAGATGATTTGTTTTAAAAAGTGTAAAAAAATCAAAAACACTTTAGAATTATCCGTCTAAATAAATTCAAAAACGGCTTTTAAACTAATTAAGTAAAAATCAGTTTTTTTAAACCAATCCAAACAGGGCGATTATCTCAGGAACAACAAAATCATAACCGGCAATAAATAAATAAACTAAAATAAACTATAAAACACGTAGGAACCCAGAGGGACAAAAAAAAAAAAAAGAAAAAAAAAACCGCATCAACATTTCCAAAAGAAAATAATAAACTAAACTGCGGGATATCGCTAATTGCTGTATCAATACAACTTTCCCAATCCCATACACAGAGTATAAATATTCAGCAGTCTTTTGACTCTTCCTGTTCGTTTCCAATTCTCTGGGTTAATTTGGTTTTACCGTGGATAGAGAATAATGGCTGATCGCAGAAAGTTGTCGTGGGAATTACAGGTCAATTTTCAAGAGCGCTCAAAACTTATTTTTGTCAAAGTGGTCAGAGAAAATCACATTCACCCTTTGTGGGTTCGAAAAATATTAGGCCTGTTTTAGAGTTTGTGCTTTTACTTCTAAGTGAAGGAGATAAGTATAAATCATAACTTTTTTAAATGTTTGGATACTCTTAAGTCCGTTCATTTAACCGATTCGAGTTTTATTACAGTAAAAAACTCTAAAAAACAGTCAAATTTAATTTTTTTGTTACAATAAAAAATTTTAATATAAAATTACATATCAACTCGAATTAAAAACTCAAATCAGTGAATAAAACAGGTCCTCATTCCTTACAGAAACTGCAGGTATATATATACACTCGACTTTTGCGGTTATTATGTTTATGTACATAATGCAATTAATTAATGATTTGAGTTTCTTTTAATAATAATAATAATTTTAATCGCTCATAAGTCATTAGTAAGTAGTTGTATATGAAAAGACTCGCTTTAATTTCAAAGAAGAAGTTTAGTATCAATAAAACAAGGAAAAAGGAGAATTAAATTTCAAACAAAGAAGGTTAAGTTGCATCAATGCTTAGCATAAGGGAATTCACCACAAAAGGCCACATATTACAAAATCACTAACTTTTTTTTTTTTTTTTTTGGATAGAATAACAGAAATTAATTAGGATATGAAGATCAGCTACCAGCAAAGGGAAGGTAACTTGAAGGAGAATGAGGAGGGCATGTGACCAGTTCTTCTGATATAATCTGCTCTTTCAGAAGTTCTTACAGCTTTCTCATTAAGTTCGGCCTCCGCATTTGCACGCTTTTCTTCGGCTATTCTCCTAGTTGCTGCAAGCTTGTTTGCCAACTTCTCTTCTGCCCGAGCTTTGATTCTCTCCGCCTTCACCTAAAATAATGCACCAAATTTTCAGTTAAAAAGATAGAAATGACTATGAAAGAATTACACAAACCATGTCGTATATAGGTTGATTGCTGGGACATTAAGGTGGGTTTTTTTTTTTTTTTTTTTTTTTTTCAATTAAGATAAAGGAAATGATTTGACTTGATATACTGCATGGTTAATTGATTCCATGAAAAGGAATCTATTTGGCAAATATGTTCCGAGGAAGAAATTATGCTAGTTTACCAATCCATTTCAAAAGTTTAAACAGTTAGGTAAATCAACAATAGTACTATATCCCAACACTTTCTCTTAACGTGTGTGCCTAAACCGAGCAGAGTATTCAAGATGAGTCGATCGAAGAAAGGGGAGAATGCAAATGCCTAACATGGCCTACCAAAAAGAGATAACAACTATTAACAAGCTCACACGTGACAAATTACGTATTTGCAATTGTTGTGATTCGAGCACATGATCAGCTACTCTTATATCATGTTTATGTTAGTTTACCAATTGTAAAAGGTTAAACAGTTTAAAAGTGAACGATAATAATAGTATATTTTAAAGTGTTATAATATGACTCTATCTCGAAGATGGCCGTTATTTCTATTAAGTTAGTTATTGGCAATTAAGACTGCAGCTTAATTGATAAGTAACCGACTTAAGTATACTCTAACCACATTGTGGTTAAGCCTAACTCTGGTTAGTTAGAAAAAGTCCTATTTGTTGTATTAGTATAAATAGGTGTTATTAGAGAGTGATCTAGTTTTCTCGGTATTTTGACTAAGTTCTGGGTGAGAGAAAATTGGGAATTAAAGCTTGTAATTGAGAAACTTGCTCTGTAAGATTCACTGTGAGATTGAGGGTGTACTTTGTTCTTCTGTTCTTAGTGGATTAAGCTAGGGGAAAAGCCCTTGCCTTGGAGTAGGATCTCTGATCCGAACCAAGTAAAACTTCGGCATGTTTTTCCTTGATTGTTTCTTCTTTTGCAATTCTTGTTAAGTGTTTGATCTTCTAGATTCATATAAAGTATAGCTAGATAACTAGTTAGGGTCTTGGCTCTTCTGGTTGTTATGAAAGGCCAAAACAGAAGCAGAGAAGAGAATGTACTACATAAGCCTTTCGACAATGTACCAAAACGAAGGATGGTCATATGGTTATCATTTTAGAGGCAAATTAATGAAAAATTTCAAAAACCAAAGCAATGGACAAAGCAAATGTGAATATAGAGAAAATATACCTCCATTTTCCTCATTTCCATCTCAGCCTTCCTCTTCTCATGATTTTCCCATGCTTGGATCTTCATCTCTTCACGCTTATACCTACCAAAGCAAAAACATCACAAACACAAAATCCTGTTCATTCCTATACTTTCCATAAACAATTTTCGTAACAAAAAAGTGCAAAACTCGACTTTGGCTAGTAATTAATCACCTTGCCATGTACTTGGCACGCTCAGCCTCATCCCAAGCCACCGCCCGGGTCTCCAATGGATTCAGCTTATTATTCCCACCCTGATCCAAACTCTGTCCCTTGCAATCACCTGATAATTCTTCCGCATTATACCTTCTTGTTGAACCGTTATTATTGTTACCATTACCACTACTATTTCCACACCCCTGGTGTCCTTCAGCACTCCGGTGCTGCTGACACCGCACCGGAGTCGAAGATCCCGATGAAATCGGGCTCCTCGCCGCAGGCGTCGTGGCCCTCAGCGGGGTGGCGGTCCTAGAAGGCTCTTGGCTCGCAATGGGGGTCATATCCGTGCCCATGTCCCTAACGCATATTGATCTCACCACTGTAGTACTACTGCCGGTTGAGACGCCATTGTTGTTGTTATTTAGTACTGCTGGCTTGTTGATTCGCCATACTAACTCTTGCCCATCAACATTTTTCGTCTCTACATTATCATTATTCTCCCCATTTTCTTCTTCTTCATGATCACCTTCTTCACTTGAGTAGTACTCTTGTTCCTTTTGCGGCACAGAAGCTATGAGTCTCAGATCATCCGCGTTTGAGTTTCTGGGCTTGCTAGTCTTGGACTGCCCACCTTTGACAAGTTTCTCTCTTGATGAAAACCCCACTAGCCATTTCTGCGCGTCATCCCATTTTGACGGTGTTGATTTTCCCAAAGCTGTTCTATGGTGGTGAGAAGAAGAAGAAGAATTGACACGATTAGCTCCATTAACACGATTGCTATTGTTGTTGTTGTTCCCAGCTTTGTGAAACTCAAAGATAATATTCTGATCCTGACCTAAGGATCTCATTCTCTCTCTAATATTTCTGTGTCTAACTATTAATTAATTTCTCTCTCTAAACACTTCTGAAAATGCTAAAGTGGAAATGGGAAATAGTACTTTGGATCTCTTTAACTTTCACTAGAGAAGCAGAAAAACAACTAGGAAAGGAGTTTGGAAGCTAACCATATATAATCATTGTTTGTATACAGAAATATGGTAATGCCTTGCAAAAGGAATCATAATGGTATAGCCAAATCTGTTATATCAAACAAGAGGCAATAATACTATAATTACTTCACAGAAATTGGCCCAAAAATATCTGAAACTTCCGGTACTGGTACTGCACACCAAAGGGACCCATTTCTGGGATTTATAATCCAGAAAGGATTGATTTCACCCTTCAATCTTCAAAGGCTATAAACAGGAAAGAAAGAGAGAGAGAGAGAGAGAGAAAAAAATGTGCTCAGTAGTGGGAAAAATTGCCAGGTGGGTCTGCAGAGAGCTTGACTAGAGAGATAGAAATAAATACCTTAAACCACATGGAAGTCTGAGACTTTACAGGAGTTAAGAAGATGAAGGGTCAGATCCACTGTACTGAACGTTAAAAATGCTTAAAAAATTGAGTGAGTGTAACTCTTTTGCATGGTTGAAACTGGAGCGCCCAGGCAACACATGGCAGTAAAGTTTTTTTTTATTTTTTTATTATTTTTTTTAAAGAAAAATGTGCATAAAAAACCACGTTACGTAGGAATTGATGATGGAATAAATTACTGAAAATAGTTAAATATAATAATAATAATGAATAGATAAAGATACATAATTAAGATAAAAGTGTTATCTATTTTATAAATATTGTGCAGTTTTAAAGTGTTGAATCTTTAACAAATTAAAAGACTTGGTTAAATGTATACACAATTTTATTTAAATACAATTCTTTTTTTTTGGGTTAATCGACAAATATCTGAGTCAGCTTGGAGAATTTGGTTAAAATAACCAAGTGAAAAATCAAACACCAGAGAAAGTTCACCGCTGGAATCAATGACAATCCTGTAAAATCAAATACTAAGATTTCAACTCTAATCTGGTGCCAAATCACAGATCGAAAAATATCAACGTGAAATCCGGCAAGATTGGGGCTGAGCTCCACTCGATTGGGGCTGGGAGTTTGTCGAGAGTGCCGGCAAGATTGGGGCTGGGAGTTTGTCGAGAGTGTGCCTCGAGAGTTGCAGAGGAAAAATAAAGGGAACTCACACCACTTTCTCTCTCTCACTGCTAATCCTAACCTCGGAGCCAGACTGCTCCTCCTCCTTCGAGTCTGGAGTGAGAGTGGAGAGAGGAGAGATTGTCATATTTTAAAAGAAAGTCATTTTGCAAATAAAAATTTTTGAATTGTCATTTTATGAATAAAGTTTTTTTATTAGATTATTTTTACAAAGGGCTCGTTAGCTTGCCTTACATTTTGATTAAGGAGTCTTTTATAACTTAAGGTCTGTTTAGTTTGTTAATTTAAATTAAGATGTAATTTTATGTGAATTTTTATTTATTATAATAAAAAAATTAAATGTAACTATTTTTAAAATTTTTTTACCGTATAAAATTTAAATTCTAAATTTGAATAAATAAAATGAATAGGACTTAAATCATCCTCCTCAGGTTAAAATAATTTGGACACTTTGATATGATCATATTACAAAAAATGACAATAACAATAATTCATTCATAATACTGATTTAATAATCCGTCAGGTGGGGTGCACCGTCTACACTCACAAACGGAATCTTTGGAAAGAGTTCCTTCATCCTTGTGACGCAGAGAGAAACAAAAAGTAGCAATAAAAAGAATAATTTGCTTTTTTTTTTCCCCTTAAATAATAGTAATTTACTTCAATACTGAGTCAGCTTGGAGAATTTGGTTAAAATAACCAAGTGAAAAATCAAACACCAGAGAAAGTTCACCGCTGGAATCAATGACAATCCTGTAAAATCAAATACTAAGATTTCAACTCTAATCTGGTGCCAAATCACAGATCGAAAAATATCAACGTGAAATCCGGCAAGATTGGGGCTGAGCTCCACTCGATTGGGGCTGGGAGTTTGTCGAGAGTGCCGGCAAGATTGGGGCTGGGAGTTTGTCGAGAGTGTGCCTCGAGAGTTGCAGAGGAAAAATAAAGGGAACTCACACCACTTTCTCTCTCTCACTGCTAATCCTAACCTCGGAGCCAGACTGCTCCTCCTCCTTCGAGTCTGGAGTGAGAGTGGAGAGAGGAGAGATTGTCATATTTTAAAAGAAAGTCATTTTGCAAATAAAAATTTTTGAATTGTCATTTTATGAATAAAGTTTTTTTATTAGATTATTTTTACAAAGGGCTCGTTAGCTTGCCTTACATTTTGATTAAGGAGTCTTTTATAACTTAAGGTCTGTTTAGTTTGTTAATTTAAATTAAGATGTAATTTTATGTGAATTTTTATTTATTATAATAAAAAAATTAAATGTAACTATTTTTAAAATTTTTTTACCGTATAAAATTTAAATTCTAAATTTGAATAAATAAAATGAATAGGACTTAAATCATCCTCCTCAGGTTAAAATAATTTGGACACTTTGATATGATCATATTACAAAAAATGACAATAACAATAATTCATTCATAATACTGATTTAATAATCCGTCAGGTGGGGTGCACCGTCTACACTCACAAACGGAATCTTTGGAAAGAGTTCCTTCATCCTTGTGACGCAGAGAGAAACAAAAAGTAGCAATAAAAAGAATAATTTGCTTTTTTTTTTCCCCTTAAATAATAGTAATTTACTTCAATAAATATTTTGCCCTCTGCTTTAATTCAGAGTCCCCAGAGAGAAAGAGGGGGGGCTTCAAAAACAGTTTGTCCAGTTTGTCCTTTTAACGGCTACTAGGTGTCATATCTGTACTACGGATGTGACACGTGGACGGTCAAGACGGAGAGGAGTGTCAGCTTGATCAGAGAGCGTTGTCCGGTTTTTGATGGTGGGTGGGTCTCTGGCATTTTCACGTGGCTAGAAATATGGGCTCAGCCTGTGTGTTTTGTATTGTTTGTGTGGACTTATAATTTTGGTTAAAAAATTAAAAAAAAATAGAAAATTTTATTTTAAGAGTGTATGAATATGAAGTTTTATTTTTTATTTTTAATAAATATTTTTTTATTAGTGTAATTATTTGATTAAAAAAATTATGAATTAAGAATAAAGATAAAAATCTTAAAGAATATTTATCAAAATTACCCATTAATAAATGATTTGTTGAATGTCTTATATGTATTGACTTGATTCTACGGGTCTATTCTTTTGGAGTGTAACTTGAGTGTAATTTTTGAGTTGAATTTTAGTTCTAACTTGAGTTGAAGTTCTAACTTGAATAAAGTTGAATAAAGTTAGAACTTAAAAGAACGTGAACTTAAATAAAGTTGTAACTTGAGTTTAAATTTTTTCTGAGTTTTGTTGCAAAAGAAACCTTTTTTTTCTACTTTCTTTTCACTGGAAAGTGTCATTTTCTCATGACTTGCTCATATATATATATATATATATATTTGATGCCTTTGCAGTAATGGTGGTAGTAGCTACTACTAGTAAAGTGTATGTAGTAATGCAGTTTGGCAGTGGCGATAAATCACATAACGCCAAACTTGTAATGTAGCCTGTCTTAGCAAGGTTCCTCATAATTCATTATTCTATGAATGCGGGGTTGATCCAAAAATTCCTCAAAATAATTATAAAAAACAACTATTTCATCCATCAAATTTTTAAGAAGGTTAAAGTCCTCAATAATAATAGGTACTAAAGTATTATTTAAACATTTATTAAGTAAAAAAGGTAAATAAAATAGTTTTGGAACTACAAAGAGGAAAAAAAAAAAAAAAAGAAAACACACACACAGAACAACTATTTCTATCTATTTCTTCATTTAAGAAATCTGGCTGCCATAAGATGTTTCTGGCTCTCTAGAGCAGCGATTTGAATTACAATCAAATCGCCCTCCAAATTTTCTATAAAAAAATTATATATATTTAAATTAAAACTCTTCAGAAGTGGCAACTGACATCTCTACACTAAAAAAAATTATGTGTGAAAATAAAACATAAAAATTTCTTTCTTTGATATATTTTAGGAATGGTTAAAAAATTCATAATAATATAAACGATATTCATTTTTATTATACAAAATGATATATTTATTATCTTTAATAATACTAATTTTTACTATTTATAGAATATTTTAAAATTTTTCTAAATTATGCTATATGGCCAAAAGCCGAAATGCCACTGTAAGCTAATAGTCCAAGTCCAAACATGAAAACGGGCCTAGGCCACAGCCCAAAACAAACGGCCCGGAACTCAAGCCCCTCCGCTTCGCTCTTCCTTTCTTCATTCTTCCATGCCGTGCTCCAGACTTTTTGTTTCAGTTCCTGTTCCTGGGTCATGGGGATTTTCAGGTGTTTCAAACGCTTCCATGGCCGACACATGGAAAGTTCTAGAATCACAGTTTTCTCACCTGGGTACATTCAGAGGAGATTCTTGTCAAGCTCAAAGTTCATCAACAATGGCGACACTTCGGTGCTTCCTGTTCTTATTGTCGGTGCAGGGCCTGTGGGTCTCGTCCTTTCCATACTTTTAGCCAAATTAGGTATACCCAGATTTCTCTTAGCTTGATCATTTCTTGTAATTTAATTTCCCAAAAGCATTTTTTGGGTACACAAACTCAGGACTAAAAGCGATTGAGAATTCAAAACATTTCTACTTGTTTATTATTTCTGCTTCACAGCTCTTATTTCAGTGGTTTCTTTGCTTTGTCTTCTATGTTCGATCGAAATTTGCATGAACAATGATACGTTTTAAGAACATTATGAAATTGAATGCGTCAAAATTCTGTGAGTTCCGCGAAAGTGAAATTACCGTTTAATTTGTTTAAACTTATTCAATTATTATAAAACTTCAGTTTGGTGTGTTATGATTCTTTTTACTTTTTTCAATACGAGTATATTTTTCATTTTGTGTATATACAGCATGAACAATGATGCACATCATGAACATTATGAAAGCAAATAAGTTCAAAATTCAGTGACTTCTACGGAAGTAGAATTACTGTTTTTTTTTTTCAAATTATTTACCTATACTAAGTTAAAATTTATTTTCATAACATGTCATATTTTTTTCATGATTCGTGTCATTTTCCTTTTTGCGTATATGCAGCGCTGAATTATAACTTTTAAGTGGTTATGGTGTCCCAATATTTGGATGACTAGGAATGTACACTTTTTCATCAGTACAAATGATTATATTAGATCATTAGAAATATGTTTCGTATTATTATGATTCGAATCATAATTCGTAATTTATTATAATATTTTTTTTACAAAAAATATATATAAATAAAAAATAATTTTAAATTATATTTTTAAATTTATAAATCAAACGTCCACTAAATTAGAGTTTTGAGTTTTAAACTAGTACTTTCAGATTAAACAACAAAGGCGAAAAACCCTACCTCAGTCTTCTTAAAATTGAAGGAAAGAGCGTTGAAGGAAAGAGCAGCCCTTTCCTCAAGATTTGCTTAGGGCTTCGAGCCTTCGATATTGAGGTCAGTGGCAGAGCTATATCTTAATGAGCCACTGACTTTTTTAAAACTAAAATTTGACCCCTCAAAATTTTAACATTTCAACTTCGCTCCCACTAAAATTTAATATTTTAATACATGCCCCAACTAAATTTTATTTTTTTTATTTTACATTTATATGTTTTCTACAATGTAGAGCTTTTTTTTCTTTATACCTTGCCTTTTGAGATTAAAAAACACTACTCTTGAACTGTATCTTATTTATAAGTTCACATTTTAAATCATGTTAAATACTTACCCATTTTTTGTCACAAATTTATTTTGGCTGTGAAAAATACTAAATATTCTCATATTTTACAATTTTTCTTATTTTGGTTAGAGGATTCAAACCATATAATTTGAACTATTTTTGATTTACGTGAATTTTTTATGAGAGAAAATACTGTAGCGAATCATGAATCATGATTCAAATCAAGGAACGAATTCCTCTACCAAACGGACTTTAAATATTCTCATATTTTACAATTTTTCTTATTTTTCTATTTTATTGAGGGTGTTTAGGTCGATTTTTGGACAAAATTGACCGGTGATTAATGATTAGATAAAATGTATGAATTGAGTATAAATTTAAAATCTAAAGTTATTAGATAAGATAAACTCTAAAATATTAGATATATAACCTCAAAAGCAAAAATAATAATAAAAAAAATAATTGACATAAATAGTTTCTAACTTATTTAATAGGTGACAATTTAATTCTTACTTTTTTAATTTTGACAAAACACTTTCTAGATTTATGCAATTAACACCTTTCTGTCTATATCTCTGTTACTTTTCTCACGAAAATTTACATATGACCTCTCACATGACATATAATTAACCTGAAAAGACTAAAGTTACCCTGATTTACTCTTTTTCTTCTTTTAATCACAAAATAACAAACCCAACTATCAGTTTTTTTTTAATCAAGATTAATAAGGAAAAAAAAGGCCTCCTTCACGTCTCAACCCCTCTCCAACCCACTTCATTCTTGATTCAATGCTCAAATCCACGATTCAGTCCTATACATTTCTCTTCATTTGAGGTCAGGTTTAACAGAAACCTTCAAACAGATCTGTGTAGAATCTAAAGCAACACTTCAATCCCAGATCATCAAATCAACGAGAAGGGGCAGTTATGGGGACGGCTGCGACGGGCTGAATCTGGTCGGCAAAGAGCGTGGGTTGGGCGGCGGACGGCCGAGTCAATCTCACGACGGAAGGCCGTGTCAAACTCACGAGCTGGATCTTGTCATGTTCTAACCCAAATCAAAATGCCAAAATAAATTCATGAGATTGAGGATTTGAGCGTGAGTTTAGCCTTTTTTTTTTTTCTTTTTCCTCGGAAGCAATCCCTTCCTCCCGGAATTTGAGTGTGCAGAACCTGTGTAGTGTTTGACCCTTTTTCTTTTTCTTCTTTATGATAGAAGCCTAAAACCCATATCCGAAGATGCGAACTGGAAAATTTTTGGAAATATTTAACGATTGATGATTTTTTTTTTATAGTTGGACATTAAATCAAATAATGAAGTTTTTGACTTTCATATTTAATTTAAAAAGGAAACAAATTAAAATTGAATATTTTGTATTAAGATTTTTTTCATTATGTTTCTAATTTTAAGGATTCCATATTTTTTCTATTTTATATTATACAGGTAGAAAGGTTTTTGTAGGTTCCATTTCAGACAGTAATGTAATTACACGAAATAAGAGACATTCTTACGCCTCGTTCATTTCACTGATTTGAGTTTAAAATTTAAATTTTGTTATAGTCAAAAGTTCTTAGAAACAATCACATTTAACTTTTTTGATACATTAAAAAATTCTCACATAAAATCACATCTCAACTCGAATCAATGAACTGAATGGAGACGCAAGCCCCGTTCAATTCACGGATTCGAGTTTTGCTACAGTAAAAAGCTCTCAGAAATTGTCATATCTAATTTTTTTATTACAGTAAAAAGCTTTTACATACAGTCACATCTCAACTAAAATTAAAAACTCAAATCAGTAAACTAAATAGCCCTCAGAATGCTGTATTTATGAGATGTTTATTTTTTATATTTATTTTTAATTTTGAATCATGATTCATAATTTTCTATAATATTTTTTTCTCATAAAAAATACACATAAAACAAAAATATTCTAAATTCACACTCGAACGTGATAATTACACAAAAGGCTAATAACTTCTTACACAAACTGTCACGGGAAATTGGGCCTAGACCCTAGACTATAACCCAAAATACTCGGCCGGGAGCTCAAAGCCAATTTCAAGCCCAATAAAACAACCACCTCCGCTTCACTCTTCCTTCCTTCATTCCTCAATGGCCATGCTCTAAGACTTGTAGTTTCAGTTCCTGGGTCATGGGTATTTTCAGATTTTTCAAACGCTTCCATGGCCGACACATGGAAAGTTCCAGAATCACAGTTTTCCCACCCGGGTATATTCAGAGGAGAGCCTTGTCAAGCTCAAAGTTCTTCAACAATGGCGACAGTTCGGTGCTTCCGGTTCTTATTGTCGGTGCAGGGCCTGTGGGTCTCGTCCTTTCGATCCTTTTAACCAAATTAGGTATCCCCAGATTGCTCTTAGCTTGATAATTTCTTGTTATTTAATTTCCCAAAGCATTCTTTTTACTTTTTTTCAAGAGTGTACTTTTCATTTTGTGTATATACAACGTGAACAATGATGCACATCATGAACATTATGAAAGCAATAAGTTCACAATTCAGTGACTTCTATGGAAGTAGAATTACTCTTTTTTTCCAAGTTATTTACCTATATTAAATTAATTTTTATTTTCATAAGGTGTCATTTTTTTTTCATGATTATTGTCATTTTCATTTTTTGCATATATGCAGCGCTGAATTATTCTTTTTTAAGTGGTTATGGTGTCCCAGTATTTGGTTTAATAGGAATATAAACTTTTCCATCGGTACGAATGCTTATTGTATATCACTAGATTGGTTTTTTGAATTTTAAACAAACAGGATAAGAAGATGTGTTGGTTCAAGTTATGACATACCTTGTTCTATTGGTTTCTATATCACGTCTTGTAGTTGTGACTTGTGAGTACGTTTATTGATGATGCATTTCAATTTAGCCTTTGTATTTCTCTTGTTGAATTACCTTGGTTTATTGGAAGATGCTTCCATACATGTTGAGTTGGAATGCGGGGTGAAGATAAACTATTCACTGTGTTCTTCATAGGGATCAAATGTGCGGTTTTGGAGAAAAACAAGAATTTCTCGAATCATCCACAAGCACATTTCATCAACAACCGATCTATGGAGGTTGGTTTTCTTACGTGGGAGATGTCACTCAATGAGTTACTTGGTATATCGTGCTTCATTTGAATTGTATTGTTATTAGGTGTTTCACAAATTGGATGGCCTTGCAGAGGAGATACAGAGGTATCAACCACCAGTAGAGTTATGGAGAAAGTTCATATATTGTACTTCACTCTCTGGTTCTGTTCTTGGTTCAGTTGACCATATGAAACCTCAAGGTACAAATTTTATCTTCTTTACTATTAGAATCTCATATTGGCTGGGGATATTAGCATGATCCGTTTAATAAGGTGAGGGCAATCCTCTCCTAACAAGCCGGTTTTGTCAGGTTGAGTTAGGCTCAATATCCTTTGATTTCTGTAAAATGGTATCAGAGTAGGCCCAGTTTTGCAATGTTGGATCCCCCAATATCGACTTATTCGCAGTGGTTTGGCATGGTCCACGCTGTGCGTGAGGGGGCGTATTAGAATCCCACATTGGCTGGAGATATTGGCATGATCCACTTAATAAGGTGAGGGCAATCCTCCCCTAACAAGCCGGTTTTGTCAGGTTGAGTTAGGCTCAATATCCTTTGATTTCTGTAAAATTTACTTTCCAATTGCGCTACTTAAAGGAAGCTTTTAGTCTTCCTTTCAAGTTGTGTAATGGGCGTGGTTCGGAATATCCTTGCAGTCAATAAGAAGATCACATTATATTTCAAGCGAAGAGTAATTTAATATGTGAATATAATTAATACATTGAAATGTATTATTGTGGTGCACCAGATTTTGAGCAAGTTGTTAGCCCAGTGTCTGTTGCACATTTCTCCCAGTACAAGTTGATGCGGTTACTGCTTAAGCAGCTTGAAAATCTTAATTTCCAAGTTCGTGCATCCGAAGAATTGGAAGGCCTTAACCACGGGATTCCCAGGGAAAGGGAGATTTTGATGGGTCATGAGTGTGTGTCCATAGATGCCAATAATGACTATGTTACTGTAACTGCGTCATTTTTCAAGAACGGGGAGTATATAAAGAGGAATATCCGGTGTAATATTCTTGTTGGTACTGATGGTGCTGGAAGTACTGTACGTAAGCTTGCAGGAATAGAAATGAAAGGTGAAAGTGACTTGCAAAACCTTGTTAGTGTCCATTTCTTGAGCAGAGATCTTGGCCAATACTTGCTCAACAAGACACCTGGCATGCTGTTTTTTATTTTCAATACTGAAGCCATTGGCGTCCTTGTTGCACATGATCTCAAGGAAGGCGAATTTGTTTTCCAGGTATTCTGTCAATGAAAAAAGTCCTGAAAAAAATTCGTCTCTTTTGAAATGTGCAAGTATTTTGATTATCTCTCATCATCTCGCAGATACCATTTTATCCACCTCAACAAAATGTTCATGATTTCAGTCACAAGGTACTTCCCATATTGGTTGTTCAATGAACATTTGTATGGCTTCCCATAATATTTTTCCTTGTTATGTGAAGTATGTGTACTCCATTAAGACTCAGAAATGAAAATGAGCTGTTGACATATTTATGTGCTAGGATGGGCAATTTGATTAAAATTGCTAGTGATACTATTGCTTTATTCTTGTAGATGTGTGAGGAGTTAATCTTTAAACTGGTCGGTCGAGAGCTAGAGGATTTAGATGTGATCGATATAAAGCCATGGGTTATGCATGCTGAAGTCGCGGAGAAGTTTCTATGTTGTGACAACCGAATTGTACTTGCTGGTGATGCTGCTCATAGGTTCCCTCCTGCTGGTGGATTTGGTTAGTTATTCCCTTTGTCATGCAGATAATGAGAGCCTTAATAGTGTGAGCCATTATTTTGATACTATATTTAGTTGGATATCTGAATTGCTGAGTTAGAATAGCTTTTGGTTCTGAAAGGCTTCTAGATAGAACTGTAATTTAAAGGTCTATAACCTGCTTGATCAGACATACGTTTTCATACCGATGAATATTGATTTTTTTATTGTGTTCAATATAAAGAACAAAAGCCATCCGTATAATTCTACCTGATTTGTGCAGGAATGAACACTGGAATTCAGGATTCTCATAACCTTGCCTGGAAAATAGCTTCCGTTGTAAAGGGTATTGCACCATTTTCAATACTTAATACTTATGAAACGGAACGTAGGCCGGTATTGGTTTCATCTTCTTAACTTTTATAGCGTCATACTTCTTTTATCCCCATAAAATTGAGGAGATTTTTACATGTGGGGCTCTGTATTCATGTCAGGTTGCCATTTTTAACACGGAACTTAGTATTCAAAACTTCAAAGCAGCCGTGGCAGTTCCTGCTGCACTTGGTCTTGATCCAAATATTGCGAACTTGGGTAAACCAAAACAGCTTATTGCCTTTGATCTTATTCTTGATCTAGAATATACACCTTTAGCGTGGTAAGTTGTTTTGCTTCCTTTCTGGTTAAATGCATCTGTTGTTTGTCATTTCTTCATTCTCAGTCCATCGTGCTATTAACGAGGGAGTTGGTGCCGTTCTACCATCTGGACTACAGAGGGCAATTTTGGATGGAATCTTTTCAATAGGCCGTGCGCAACTCTCGGAATCTCTTCTGAATGAAGAGAACCCAATTGGGTCTTTAAGGCTTGCTAAACTAAGACAAATATTTAATGAAGGAAAGACCCTTCAACTCCAGTTCCCTGCAGAGGATCTTGGTTTCAGGTAATCACATTCTTAGACGCGGCTGCCGTACAAAAATCTTGAAGCTATGCTTTAAATATAACTTGGAACTTTCTCAAACTAGTCTGAATCTTTGCTCGCTGACTAATGTCATAGTTTTATAACTTGTTGGTTTAGTTAATTAACTTGCTAATTGGATCGTCAATGCAAAAACCACCTCTAAAAGACGTCTAATTCTAGCTATTACTGTTAGATATCTTGAAGGAGCACTTGTTCCCGATCATGATAGCGTCACGAGTACTCTTGAAGCACCTACTGGTCGTCGGAGAGACTATATTCCTACTGCAGATCCAGGGTGCAGACTGCCCCATATGAATGTGAGGGTATTTTCAAATTCCTCAAGCAAGGTATGCTGGCTTTTGCGCTGATCAGTGCGTCTAATTTGTGTTCATATGTAGAGTACTCCCTTATTGTTTAGTAACACTAACACATGACATTATTATTAATTATTTTATAATAGCAGATCATTTCGACCCTTGATCTTATATCCGTAGACAAAGTGGAGTTTCTTCTCATTACAGCGCCTATCGAGTCGTCTTATTGTCTAGCTCGTGCTGCACTAAAGGTGGCTGAGGAATTCAAAGTTTTTATCAGAGTCTGTATGCTTTGGTCTGGCGATAATTTTAAAGGAATTGAAGTAGGAAGCAAGGCATCATTGGAACCTTGGGAAAATTACATAGATGTTTTGGAGGTTAAGAAGTCAGCCACTTCATTGTCATGGTGGGAAATCTGTAAGATGACCAACAGAGGAGCCATCCTTGTTAGGCCCGACGAGCACATTGCTTGGCGTGTGAAATCAGGAGTTGTTGAGGATCCTATAAACGAAATGAGAAGGGTTTTTTCTGCTGTTCTGTGTTTGAAGTAAAGGGAAATATAGGAATAATGTTGTTACATTCTTGTGTTGTAAAACTACTAAATGTCCCTAAATACTTTGCTTGGCGAAAAATTGTACTTTTAGCACAAGTTGAGCACGGTGCAAACAGGCATCGGGTCTGTATACTAAATTGCTTGAACATTTACATTCGTCAAAGTGAACCCTCCAATGAATCAAATTACACTTCACAATTCTAGTCTTCCAACAAAAGTAGTGAGCAGTCTGATGGAAGAATATGCTAACATGGACGAGAAATGTGCTCCTATGTAAATCGGAGCAAACCATGTATGTTGTTGGTTCTTTGGGTTATAATACTGTCCAAAGACCCCCGTTGAAGATCTAACCACCGATGATGCTACCAAATGGTGCCTTTTCCGGTCATCAAGTTCGACTCCTAACCAAGACAATCAAATGACCAATAGCTGCAGTAGTAATTCCAAGCAATCCGCCAGCAACAACCTGTAAATGGGTCGTATTAGAGAAGAAAATGACAATCCACAACAGTGTAAACGTACGCTGAGTAAAAAAGCGAGTATCAATTGACAACTTGCATGAGTATCATTGACAGAGAAACAACTATCCCGAAGGTAAAGATGTTTAACAACATAATCAAAGACCAAATCCACAATGTCGGCCAAAGCATACGCTCAAACCTAACAAGTTTTATTCTTAGTGGATTGATAACACGTCATGTCAATAGCATATGCTATAATTAGAGGAATTAAGGGAAAAATAGGAAAACAGGATTTTGATTCAAAAATTCCTATTAATAACTTCAGAGCTAGGTACTAATAAACAATTCATAGTATGACCACCAACATCATTGAAAAGACCATATCAAGTTCAAGATTTTAGGGGTGTAGTAGATGAGTAGTTATGGGAAACAATCTAAAGCAATGTAGCGAACCTGAGAAGGGGTGTGGCCAAGAAGTTCACGCAGGGGTCTGCTCTCAGCTAGAGGATGCTCAGCAGGAAGTTCATAAACAATTTGATTCAGAACCTGAAAAGAAAAAAATACCGAGGTCAAATTGTATGAAGCGTATAGATATTGAAACTAGATAGCTTGTTAGCACCTAAACCGAAATTTTAGAAGTCCAGACATTAAGGATTATAACAACTTAAAAGCACTAGAAAAATAAACTTCCAAAACTGTTTAACTCTAATCCACACTCTTGAAAGAGAAAAAAGGAACAGGAAGAGAGAGGTAAGCACAAGAGCAGAAAAGCATCCAAACCTCTGCTTGGCGTCCGGCATGTAATCTTACACCAGTGGCATCATACATAACCTGCCACAAACACATTATATGTACATTAGATATCCCTCCACAAGGCCAAAACGTGGGCTATCTTAAAAGAAACAAGAGAATTTATAAACATTGGCTTCAGACTTGTCATAAGAGTAATGCAAACTGAACAAGATTTTCATTCTTATTGGTTATTTTGCCAATAACAACAGAGTGAAAGAAGTAGGGCTCGTACAATACACGCTAGGATCAATGAAGTGGCAAACAGCGATCCTCCAAAGCCTTCTTGGAATCCAATGGCTGCAGCAAGAGCAGTAACAGTCGCAGAATGAGACGACGGCATTCCGCCGGACCCAACAAGTTGCTTGAGATCCCATCTTCTTTCTTTATACCTGCAAATCTAAGAAAACATAAGACTCTTAAAGCATCACAACCTTCAATTCTGAGTCTGACCTATAAAAATAAAAAATCAGTTCTTGAACTTAAAATCTCGGGGCTTTAAAGGAAAGTTTAATGGCTGAATTGATCCAAAACTACCAAAGAAATTAGATCCAGAGCAAAACCTAATCAATAACAAGAACGTTGAATGACGATCACAACAAAGCCTTTACAAAGGCAATTTCTTTCTCGTTTTCAACCAATACAGATTCTAGATCAAGATTCATTCAACAAAACAACATAAAAACAATGAATTTCGGATCCGAATTGGAGGGCGAAATACCAGGCAGTGAGGAACTTGATGAATTGAGCAATTGCGAAAGCGGTGAAAGCGCAGAGGAGGGGATAATTCGAGAAGATTGAAGAAGACGCCAACGAGCCGCCTCCGGTCGCCGCCATAGCCGACCTTCCCGTCATCTCATCCATCGGCTTACTCTCTTCCTCTCTCCTCCCAAAATCGTCTCACCGTTTCTTTCCTTAGATTTTTCGACGAAAAAAGAAAAAAAAATGGAAATTAATCGAGCTCAGAAGAGGGAGAGAATGGAGGAGGAAATGGTGACTTTGTGACTAATTCCAAAAACGACCCAACGGAGTTTAAGGCTATAAGAGACAGATGGCTAATTTTTATTTTTATTTTTCTTATTCGTTTTCTTTTCCCGGGAAGTTGAGGAAGAAGAAATTGAAGTCGTAGGCCTGTATTTATAGAGAGAGAGAGGAGTTTTGGTTTGGTTTTTTGTTGCTTCTTCTAAGTTCTTATTTAACTAACGGTCTTTGCCTCTCTCTCTCTCTCTCTCTCTCTCTCTCTCTCTCTCTCCTCTCTATGCCTTTCTTTTTCAATCTTTTACTGGAATATACCAATATCCATATGGATCTCTTCTTCTCCTTGGTCTAATATACCCAACACAAAGAGTTAGTGAGAAGATGGCAAATCCATTCAATAATATGGCATTCAATTATTTTGATATAACAACTCATTTTGGATTAAGTATTTAACCCCACGTTACTTGCTCCTTTTCAGAAAATTACAAAATTTACCATTAAAAGTGTACAAGTATAAATTTTTATCTTTTATTCTTAATAAACACTTTTTTATAAGTATAATTATTTGACTATAAAGATTATGAATTAAAGTAAAAATCATAATTCATACACTTTTAAAGAATATTTATCAAAATTACTCGGTGCTTTTCGATATGCGCCTTTTTTTTTTTTTTTCTAAGTTTGACTGAACAATCTTAACAAATGAGTTTTTAGAAACTTTCATAAGTGCAAAAACATTTGCGTATGGATTACTATTTCATCCTATGAAATTTATAAAATAATCAACGATTACCTTACTAAAATTAAATTAATAACCGCTATATGATGACGTGTTTAGACGACGATAACAGTTAGAAAACGACAGATACAATAAAAACGACAATAGGTGAAAACAACAGCTTCTAACGACAACAATTTGGAAACGACACTGAAGTTCAAAAGACGACAACGTGACGTATGTGAGAATAACAGCATAAATGAGAAAAAAATGAAGCAAACAATGATCATAACGATTACAGCATCAGTAATACGACAATAACTAAAAACGACTAACGTCAGAAAAACGACATCATACTTAGAAGAACACATTCCAATAAACCGACTATAACCCATAACAAAATCAGGGCCAAAATACAATTTTATACACGACAACAGTTTAGGAACGGCAGCAACATGATGTAAACGACAATAACGTCATAAAACGACAAAATGTTATTCAAACAAAATAACAACCATAATGATATATATATATATATATATAAACCATAATAATCTGAAATTTCAAAGAGACATTCATAATACGACAATAATTTAAAACGAAAAATTATAAAACAATATTGGGAACAAAAAACGACCATAATGATAAGAAATTTCGATAACGACAATAGAAAAATCCTTAACGAAGATTTGAACGACATTACAAGAATACGACAACAAGAATTAAAACGACAATAACAAAGGCAAACGACTGTAGTCCTAAAACGACAAACTCTCCATGAACAACAAACTATGGTCAATACGACATCTTAGAAAAGAACATTGCTTTTTTAAAAACGACATCATTATGAAAACAATAGCTTCTCTCTATCTCTCCCCACCACTTTTTTTTTTTTTTTTTTGGAAAACAGCCGATTAAAATTTAAATCAACTTTGCATAATTTGATTCGATCAATGATCAATTATGAGATCGTTTACCAACAATATCCCAATTAAGTTGTTTGGTTTGGTTGGTAGTTTCATGTCATGATTTGAATCATAATTTGTAGTTCGTTACAGTATTTTTTTTTAAAAAAACACATAAATCAAGAATAATTCTGAATTCACGAACCAAACGTCCACTCATAAAAGTAAATATCATTATTAAAATAGTAAACATAAATATCTTAATGTTGAAATATCATTATTAAAATAGTAAATATAAATATCTTAATGTTAAAGACAATTATGTACTCCCTTTCTAATTAACTAGTAATTATTACATTATTTTTAAAACTAAAAAACAATTGCATTACATCAGTGATTGCTACAAACAAAACGCTAAGAGCCCGTTTAGTTGGAGGATTCGTTCTCTGATTTGAATCATGGTTCATGGTTCACTACAGTATTTTCTCTCATAAAAAATACATAAACATCGATTTACACGAGCAATGACTAAGCACTGTAATTTAAGAATCAAATCTTAGTTCATGATTCAAACTGGTAGGAGAGAAAAATTTAAGAACAAGTCAAATAATTAACAACGGTTTAAAGACAATTTAAATTGTTGATTTTAAAATTTACCTTCCCTCTAAATCTAACAATCCCAATGGTTGTCAACCGTTTAATAATTCTAAATTCTACTTTTTCTTTATCTTTAATTTAAATCTTAAAAATATCATAATTTTTTCATTTTAATTCTGATTAAAATTATTATTTTTTATTGTGTACATAATGAAGTGAGGAACAAATCCCCACCCATATTGCATATTTTTTAATGTCATGTATAATGAAATTTTATAACATTTGTTACAAAATTCTAATGACAATTTTTAACACTCTATTCAAACACAATTCTGATTTTATTCCCAATTCAAATTATAATTTATTTGCATATCCAAATAATAGTTCGGATCACAGTTTGAATCACTACAGTTCAAATTCTACAGTTCTAATAAAAAAGGTTTAAATCTCCACAATTTGAGTTGTTAAACCAAACAAGCCCTAAAATATTCTTGCATTTGAGCACAGGGATACATCCAAAACAATCTGAACTCTCCTCTTTAACGGCTGAAATGTTGCGATTGCAAGGAAAGGAACAGATTTTCAAATGTCAAGCCCTCACTCAGTCACTCTTCTCCAATGTTCTTGCAGATTTCGGCTTTGGCTTTCCTGTCGGTGCTTACTGCATTAGCCAATACTTGCGGAATGTTCCTATGAAATGATGTGCAAATTTCATAATTCGTATGTGAAAACAGAAACTTTCTAATCCGAAACTCCATTAAAAAACACAAGGTAGGACATAAGGCAATGCCCGAAATACACACAAAATTAAAGGAAAAAAGCAGAAAAGGTTGGCAGCTTCCCCACCATAACTTGGCTGCTGCAGCCGGCAGGACTTCAATGAGTAAGCTTCATAAATATATATATATATATATATTTTTTTTTTTTTTGCCGGTCAAATATGTCAATCTTTTTACTCTTTTGTGTTTTATTTATCTGATTTCTGAAAAGAAGCAACTTGAACACCTACAGTTTCGTTTCCAAGTGAACTTGTGCAAGTGGGACAGCATCAATGTCAGCAGATTCCTTCTCAGAATAAAATCGGTCCATAATATTATGACAAATGAAATTTTCAATGAAATTTTCAATCATCCAGCAACAGTGTGCATGATTCTTATGAGCTAGGTAGCATCCTTTCCGACGAAGTTAATCAGTTCTGCCTTTGCTGCTTCCAGTACAACCTGGAAATCTATTTTTGAATACCTTCCCCTGCAGTGAAGAATTGTTATATTAGCTCAACTTTATTACTATTGCAAAAAAAAAAAAAAAGAAAAAAAAAGACCCAAGATTTATTAGCTTGACTGGCCTCCACATCAGATGAACTCAAAAAATTCAAAATGAACAGCATGGTTTCGTTAACCTACCAGAAGTGAGTTTTTGACCACATTGTTGATGTATAAGCTGGGCTTGCAATGCCATGCATTATCCTTGCAACAGCTCTGGGAGTGAATTTTGCCTGCGAGTTACTCTGCAGAAATACCTGTTATTCCAACAAAGGGCCAGTTAAAACCACTAAGCATTTGTCGATTACATAATCCAAGTACAATGTCGGAGCTTCTTACTTTCATATCGGCTCGCAAAAATAAGCTGCAAGTGAAATGATAATGCAATGAGCACATGATGTCAGCATCACAAGATAAAGAAAAAGGAATGACTCCATGTTACAGATGTAAGTAAATGATACGCTGGGATATTAAATTTTCCAACAGAATTACTATAGGGTATTAAAATAGTCGGGTAATGTATATGTGCACAAACCTGCTTTGACCCATCTTATTAGGAAGATCATAATTATCATAATTTTCGTTAAAATAATCCAAAATTCTTCTTTGCAAGCATGGCGTATGTTGGGCTCCACAGCAACCGTGCAATTTCTCACACGAATTAAGGGCGAATGTGGCAGCATTAAACATTGCATCCAACTTCCGCACCTAATTAAAAAAAAAAAATAGAGCATGAATTATTCATATATCGGCACTCATGGAGAGACAGCACATAAAATGTTTTAAAAAACAAATATGTTTTAAAATGTAGATTTGTGATTGTGAATCTTGCCCAGTTTTTGAAAGGAGGCATTGCTCAGTATAATCGCTAGATTAGATCGTTCATTCCATTGTATATTGAAAATTTACACAGATTTTTAGTCCACGTTATGATAATAACCTTGCAACTTTCAACCTCTGATAACCATTTTGTAAGATGTGCTGATAGAGAACAAAGATCTGCAGGAACTTCAACAATTGTATAGCAGCAGGCTTGGTCCTTCAGTTTATACCTTACTTCTCCCTTGAACTAAACAATATCACAAAGGAAAAGAGATATTTCTTCTTAAGTATTCTACCATATATACAAGGAAATAAACAGATTTTTGTTAATTTTCATGCAGTAAGGAGGAATGAGGTTGGCACAAATCTTGCCAAGCTAAAGAACAATGAAAGATAACTTGTATATGTCATGATTTTAGCATTAGAAGTGAAGCTTCGCGATAAAGAAAATTGCCACAAAGCTATATTCTAACACCACCCATGAAAAATTCAATTGATTTCTTTTTAACTCCAATGGCTAAAATGTATGAAAATATGACCTCCTTAAACATCCAAACCTTTAGATTTTGTAACTGATTTGATAGATCAGTAGTAGTAATTCCAATGCTGTTCGCCACAGTTGGTATGTCAAACACATACTCCCCTTGCTTCATTTCAGACCTGAAAATAAATCAATGGTCAATGTTTGTTTAGCCAATATCTTCTTGACCTCGAGTAGCATTAAGTTCACTCTTGTACTTTAAACTACTAAAGAGCCTCACTTCTTCAGAATTTCAGCAACAACAACATCCCTCTCAGCAAGCACATCAGGAGGGGTCTGCATAGGTGAAAACACCACAACGATAAGTATAAATCTTCTAATGAAAACAACAAAAATAACTTAATAAAAACAAACAAACAAACAAACAAACAAGCAAACAAACTCGCAAAAGGAAATCAAGCGTTTAGCCCAATTGTGATTGCAGACTAACATTATGGGACTTATATATCCTAATGAGATCATCACATACTATCGCTCAAGTGGACTCGACTTTTAAGTTATTTGTCCCAATTATTACATTTTTTTCGCTTAAGTGGACCAAACATTTGTGCCAATTTTTACATGTTTACAGCTTCTGGCTGACGCTGTGAAGGACCTGAAGGTGCTTGTACTATAACATGCGAGCAAACTAATAGAGCTCCCAGATGAATTAAGATAGAAACAAATTTGCTACCAACCTTATGAAAACTCAAACTGCAAGTTACGTTTATCTGTGGGAGAAGACGCAAGAATTGCACTTCACCCAACTCCAATTGGGTTAGAAGTGTGAACATCACCTGAAAAATACAAAAACAGCCAAAAAAAAAAAAAAACGAGTCGGTATAAAATTATACTTCAATAATAATAATAATAATAATAATAATAATAATAATGAGGTGCTCCAGTACCGAATCCACAGAGCATTCAGTGCGAAACAAATTACAAATTAGAGAATTGAACAGGAATAGTAGCAGGAGAAAACCTCTTCTTTCATATCAAACTTGGGAGAAGCCGATTCTGTTACTAAGGAGCAAACTTTTCCTTGCAACTTCTTATTGTTGGAGAAAATTTCACAAAGGAATTTGTTTATTGTATATTGATCGACTCCATCACTGAGAATAGGGAACTGCGACATTAATTCTCTGAAATGCTTATGGAAAGGATCATAAGATATACGATTCTGGGTACCTAAACTTGAGACTACGAAGCTTGAAGTATGTATCATCCTCTAAAAATAGATGACAATAGGATGATCTCCCATCCCGTCCAGCTCGGCCGATTTCCTACAAAATCATATCACTCTTTTGTTTAGCGAACTTTAGTTTAAATATAGCCTCAAATAGCAAGAGGTTACAAAGCACATATCGACCTGAACATACTCCTCCAAGCTTCCTGGCAAGCTGTAATGAATGACCTGAAGCAGATGCTATTAGCAAATCACAGTACTAAATCTTAATTCATAACTTATGTACAAAGAACATAGGAATGATGCAACGCTACCATCATACGCACATATGTATAATGGAAGTGCGCTTTGCATGGATACAAACGTCTATAGAGTAGAAGGACATCTTTTAGAATCCATAATATCAGATTGAAGGTCTAATTTATAATTTATAAACAAGACAAGAGTGAGTTCATGAAGAAATATAATTCCTTCAGTTCCATAAACTTCCTGGGAACTAGGAGCAGAGGACACATTTAAAATTGGACAACGTATTACCAGAATTAATGTACTATATGCTGTCGTCTTAAGGTAGCATCTAATCTCATATAATGCGACAAATCACTACAATAATGTGCATGGTATTCTTACAGCGCCAACGTCCCTCTTGTCAAGCCCCATGCCAAATGCCACAGTTGCAACAACCTTTTATTAAAGCAAAGAGTTAATGACTCAAGAAAATGAAAGTTGTTCACTATGTTTTTAGAAAGACCACTGGATAGTAAAATAGAACACGTTTGTTATCTTATATAAGCTGCAATTAACTGAGTAGACTCATTATACTCACCACCCGGATCTTGTTAGTGCAAAATAACTCCTGTATACGGCTACGATCTTTTGCAGGTATACCACCGTGGTAACCCTAAGCAACATTTCACGTCTGGTCAAACTTAAGAATTCTGCAACAAAACAAAGTTGTGCCAGCTGAAAAAGAAAAAAAATGAAAACTAACCTTTGCATCAATGTCGTTATCACGTAAATATCTGCTTATTACGTCAGTTTCAAACTGCAGTATTAAAATGCAACAATTAATTTGCGCATTAAAACCAGAAATACAATAGGGGCACAGTATGCTGATCTAGAATCAGGAGCTTCAACACAAGAAAGAGATATTCCATTTTAAAAAAAAAAGATTTATGGCATTTGTTTATTTGGCATTATATACATAGATAAATAAATGACCACGCTTGCCCTTTAGCATTGTCAAGCAAGTGTTTGCCTTTCTTGAAGTTTCTTCAATGCTTCTTCAAAAAGCCAAATGCACGGATATGAGTCTATTAATAGACCATTTTTTATAGCCATCAAGAACAAACTCTACTCCCCTTCTTCATCTCACTTCTATTTTCAAGCTCTTTAAGTTTTTTTTTAATTATTTGTTCAGAGTTGACAAAAAACAAGAACAAGTTCATAATTTTTGTTCATCAATTTTGTTGTGTATTCAGTTCTACTCTTGCTAGAGGTTAAAACTCTATAAAGCTGTCCTAGATCTTAGCATTTAGGAGCGCACCCTTACAAGGCTCAGGTCGTTGTATCCTAGAATTAGATCGTTGTGCATTTGGGAGTGCATCCTTAAGTATAAATATACCTGAAATTTGCAATATACAATGATGCTCCGGACTTCCGTGAATGGAGGAGACTTGATCAGCATCAACAGATCCTTCATTCTAGTTTTATTCAAGAAAATTGAATATCATGGGTGAATCAATAGATTTAGTTGACAATTCAAATAGAACGCTAAGAAAGAAAAGTGTAGCTGACTTGCCTATTTCTAGACAATGACACCGATAATTGTAAATTGTCCCTTAATGGGGCTTTCTGGATGAGATTGGTTGAAGGAATTTCCAGAGCAGACATAACAGCATGCAAAGTTGTGGTTGTAGCAGTAGCTGTCATGGCAAGAACGCAATCAACATTGAGCTTCGCTTTAAGTAACGATGCTCTCAGCCTCATGTACGAGGGTCGGAAATTGTGTGACCTGAAATCAATAGTTCATATAATGAAAATAGATGCATTACAACAAAATTACCCATAAAGCGGGAGAAAATATTGATAAACTGACGCCTGAAGTTACAAGAGATAGTTGCGATCACACTCACCATTCAGATACACAGTGAGCTTCATCCACCACAACAAGCGATATTGACACATTAGCAGAAAATAATGACAAGAATTCCGCATTCAAAAGCCTTTCTGGTGACACAAAAAGCACCTGAAAGAAAAAACCCAGAAAGGACTTAGCTTTACAAAAAGTACTCACTTTCAAAAAAAAAAAAAGTACTCAATAGGGAAGAACATTATTTCATCATAGAAGCACCATAACTTGTAAGCATTTCCATTAAAAAGGAAGAATCTAAACAACAGCAATGTAACCACACCACTATGACATGACACTAGAAAAACGAAATAATTCGTTAAGTATATCAAAGATGATTCATAAAAGCAATAGGGATATCAAAAATGCATCCAACAAATGAAATAAATCGTTGATGAACTTACCTTTATATCACCTTGTTGTAGCAACCGCAATGTCTCCGAAACTTCCTCTGGTGTCTAAAAAAATAAAAAGAATCACATTCTTATCACTATCTAAATGTTTCTGTTTAATATGATAATGTTTGAGACAAAAAAGGAGAGAAATAAAGAAAGAAAAACCCACCTGACTACTACAGAAAAGACCGCCATGAATCATTAGAGGAAGCTGTTTTAGTTGATCAATCATCAATGCAACTAAAGGACTTACAACCAGGGTTATTCCATGCAAAATCAGGGAAGACAACTGATAACACAGCGATTTTCCAGCACCTGTAGGCAAAACGAGCATTGTCGATTTCCCGGAAAGAACCATCTTTATCGCCTCCAACTGCCCATCACGGAATGAATCATAACCATGAGTTAGGCTCAACAACTTGACTAAATTCTCATCAGAGGGCTCATCTCGAGCAGCCAAAATCGCCTCTTTGAGAGATTCATGTTCAAATTTCGCTCTTTTGCTTTCTCTCCTCTGATTGTTTTCCGCCATCGTCTCGACAACTAAGCCATTTTCCTCACAAACACCCTCCTCCATTTTGGCCTCGCTTTCTGATCTCATTTTTTTCTTATACTTTCTGTAAGATCGTCGACCACTCGAGTAAGAACTACCCCCTCTTTTGTTCAAGAATTTCCTTTTATTCCGCTTCAAGTTCAGCTTCACAAAATTCCCTTCTGCACTGCATTTTCGAAATTTTACCGGTGGCAAAGGCACATTGCTTCCGATCAAATTAGAATGCTTCTTCGCAACTTTCGCCGAGCTTATTCCATAACCGACGGCCGCTTCATCATCGAGCTCTTCCGGCAACCAACCGGCCGCCGAACATTCAGGCACGGTAATCTCATCAGCCTTGGGCGGCGGAATCGGCGCCGAAGAAGGACTCGGATCATCCTCAACGCAATCGAAATTGAGAGTGGACCGTCGGATTTTCGAGAACGACGCGGACTTGGAGAAGAAGCCGGCGGGGAGGGTTTCGAGGGAGCGATCGACGGCGGAAACGTCGCGGTTCTGATCGGACGGCCGGCTGCGGATTTGGAAAGGAAGATTGGCCGAGAAAGTGGGAAATGCATCTTCGGAGGCCGGCACTGGGTCGATTCTGGTCCGATTTGCATCGGAAGGGGAAGAGGAAAACTTGTGGGAGAACTTCTTCTTGGGTTTGGAGTAAGAGGACGAGGAGGCTCTAGCCCTAACGCTGGAATTGGTGGAGGAGATGAGCGGAGGCCGTGAAGGAGGCGGCGGAGATGAAGGGCCGAAATCTCTGGGAGGAGTAGCGGAGACGTGAGAGCCGTCGGAGTCGGAGTCGGAGTCGGAATCGGAATCCATGGAAGAGAATATCGGAGGTGAAAGAGAGGCAAACGGAGAAGAAAATAGCCCGCCCTTCTTATTTTTGGTGTTTCCCGCCATCTGATTTTCTTTTGCCTTCTTTTTTTGTCGTTTATGAATAAATACGACATGTCGTAAATTCACAAAGTTTTCTGTCTTCTTATACTGAAATCTTGCTGTCGTTTTCATTTTTCATCTCACGGCCATGTTTTTTTTCACAACTCAACTTTTATCATTACAGTGTTTTTTTATAAAAATTTAAATTTCACTTTTTTGCTACTTGCTTGAATCCAGAAGAAGACACTTAGATAAATGTTGTTTGTGTTTCCAAATTTGTTGGTTGTTATAGGTATGTAAGATTGTAACTTAAGTGTAGGTATGTAAGATTGTAACTTAAGTTTTCATTGTCGTTTATCTTCCTATCAAAACTATGTCGCTTTTTAAAGAAGCAAAATAAACGAGTCCAAAAAAAGAAAAAAAAAAAAAAAAAGAAAAAGAGCCAAACAAACAAACAACAAACCAACAAGCAAACGATTCATTTATGCAATGATGAATTTAAATATAGATTCTCTCAATTTTCATTTATTTTACTTTTTAAGACACCACATGTCGTTTATCATCATATGCTTCTTTCTAATCTAATCTAAACAAAACAAGAGAGAGAGAGAGAGAGAGAGAGAGAGAACAAAAGAAAAAAAAGTTACAATTATACAACTGGTGGACTATCGAATCCTCCCTTCTCTCCCTTCCCTTTCCCTCTCTGTAAGAGAAATCGAAGCATGTTCGAAGAATTCCGATTTTTTTATAATGAACAAAAATGGAGGTATATTCTTCACAATCATAACGAATATGAATGAGTGGTTTTTTCATTCACACTTTTATCTCTACTGGGATAAACTGAACCAAATCGGAATCACCAACAAGAATGCGGCATTTGGAGCAAACACAACCCTCCATTGCCTTAACTAATATCAGCCTAGTGACAAAAGGAAAAAGAACCTTTCCTTTAAAAAAAACAACCCAAGGAAAAAAAAAAAAAAAAAAAAAAAAAAAAAAAAAAAAAAAAAAGAAGCTTTACAATTTCGTCGCCAATAGAACGTGGCATTTCTTACAAATAAATGGGAACCAACGGAAACAATCGACAATATGCAAACAGCGCTTCAACCATAAAGCCAAAAAAATTCAAGGACCCGGCTCCGTCTGCTAGATATATGCTGATGGGGTTGGCAGAGGTGCATGGTGAGCACCAGTTGAACTTTACATGATAGTGCAGTTGCACTTTGATTCCAGCTTTGGGGGCTTCAAACTGTCTACCTTGTTAGGCGGCTCAACGTTGCGTTTCAACGGTTCGACAGCATTCTCATCATTCTCATTTGTGGTCGGAGTTTTGGCATCTGTCTCCATCCGCTTTTTCCTTGTCTTTTGGGATTTTGAAGAGCGATTGCCAACGGTTCTGCCGCGTGGTGGATCCTTCTTATCATAATTGGATCTTCCCAATATTGTAATGGTTGGTCGGAAACCTTCTAATGGTTCTGAGCTCTCCTGTTCAATTGCTATGGTTGCAGCCTGATAGGCCAGATCCTGGACAATAGAGCTGCAGAAAAGAATTGTATCTGTCGCCTCTTCAAGTGTTAAGCTTCTAGCCTTGCTTCCCTTTTGACATTCTACCATTATCGCTGATTCTTCTTCTGATAAATATACAGACTTTGTCAATTAAAAAAGTGAAAACAAAAAAGACGAGGTACTTGTAGAGAAATGGTAATTATCTCAAGAAAGTCTCGATCCAAATAAAACACTTTGTACACTAGAATAGCCAAGAACGTAGACAGGGTTTTCTTGATAAGATTAGACGACAAGAGGTAAAAAAATGAAACAGAGCAATAGAAATCACAATCCAGATAGATCATACCCAGGATGTCATGCGCCTGATCTGAGGCAGAAGTTATCATTTCCTTATCAGAAGGCGCAAGAGGTGAAGCCTCAAGAAATTCCTCTCTGGTGCTCTTTGATGCAAGCGAGACATTATCACTCTGTGAACCAGGCGTATGCTTTTCATTTTCTATTTCTGAAGTTGTAATTATGGAGCTATGAGTTGCAAGCTCTTCACCATCCCGCAGACCACTGTGAGGAATTGTATCCAGTGCTTCTATTTCTGTCACATTAGTTGCATCTTTTGAAAACTCTACATCATGTAAAGCATGGCTATCGTTATTTGAATGTGATTCTACCAAGTTATCCACAAACCCGCTATCAAATACAGGCCGCAGTTCTGAAGTAGATGTATCAACTGTTATGCTTCTGAGATCTTCCTCCACAAGAAATGTTCTCGTGGAAGATGTATCAGTAACATCTGCTTCAGTCTGTGGTGAGGCTAGCAAATGGTCTTGAGATGTTGCAAATGTGTCCCGTGCAGCATCATATTCCACAGTGCCAATCGAAACCTGCAAATTATCTTCATTTGTGCTTGTTGAAGGAGGTTTTGCTTGGTGAGACAGGTATGCAATCCCAGAGAATGATGATGAGCCAACGTTCTGAGATTTTGTGCTTTTTTCATTTCTGCAGTACTCCATGTCTGATTTTTTACCACTCAATTGCCTTTGCACCCGGCCATCCGTTTGTCTAGCACTGAAATCAACAGAGGATGACGCTGAGAAGCTACCATGTCCAAAGGAGCTTCTCATGCTGCTTGTACTATCTTTAGCATACGAGAGATCATCATAAGGTATGCTAGCAGCTGAAAAAGTCATGCCTCGAACAACAGGACCCTTGCTACTGCTTGTCCTCTTCAGCAAAACAGAAATTCCTGCTCCCTCAGATATATCAACCTTCAAATTTGGATAGTCAGTGGAGTGATGCGATTTTTGACCCCCATCATCATTGGGCGGACCATGACCAACAGCTGAATGGCCTTCCTCTTGCTGTGTGCCAAGCATACCCTCACCCCTCTCTACCTCTGACCTTGCAAGAGAATTTTCTTGTAAGTAATTATGGCTTTCCTGACGATAAGAAGTTTTGCCTTCCTCAGCATTCTCCATGTCCCGAGAACTCTTTGGCTCACTCACATCAGTAACTTGCTGCAATACAGGTACAGCCATCCCATAAGCCAAATCACCAGAAGGTGTTTCTTCTTGTGAAACGTTTGTAGACAATGCTGGAGAGGTGTCCGTAACTCTGGCCATCTCCGGAGTGGGAGAGGTGTCAGCAGCTGTAGCCGTCTCCAGAGTGGTTACCCTCAATTGTTTATCTTTCATATTGCATTCTGGACAGAGCCTAGTGTCCCTTTCCTCTTGCTCAGAGGCATGATATCTGCAACCACATCTAGAACAAACTGCCATAATTTCAAGACTATCAACTTCTGAAAGATCATCATTAGCAAGAGAAGCTTCAGAGCTTGGACCCACTTCTGTGACAGTACCATGGTGACGGGAATCTCCAGGTTCAACAAGACCAAATTCAACTTTAGGGCTTGTACTGAAGCCAATGTTATCCATTTCAGTAGATCCATCGTGGAGTTCATTGCCATTAGCTTCATCTACAACATCCAACTTATCGAAGGAAAATATTTCCTCATGAACATCAGAATATTGTCTTTTTTCAAACTCAGTCGCAGCATCATCCTGGTTGTGATCACTGCCTTCAGTATCAAGGGCAGCACTCATACCTTGATCAGAACTTGTATTGCTGCTAGTTGTGACGGATGAATTTCTAGAGATCAGTGAACGCTGTACAGAACTTGCTTTTCCAACGTAAAAGGTAGTGCTAGGGACACTAGATAAAAGTGGTCTAAACATATTTGGAGGACTTTTCCGATTATCCTGCATCAGACATTGGAGCGCATGAGATGTGAACCAAAAACTATATGCATATTAATCATGAATTAAACGTGCATTGTCAAATCAAGAGGCTGAAGATCCATTAACGTGTTAAACATGCATTGTCAAATCAAGAGGCTGAAGATCCCAATGTTCTTGCATCATTAAAGCAATTTCCAAGCTGTTTCTATCGGTTTACACAGCAGCAAAAGAAACAGACAAAAAGATTTCAGTGACTGAAAGAACATTAATAAGATCATAACATCAAGAAAACGCTGCCCATATATAATATTTTATTAACAAAATACTATGCCTCTAATCTACAAGACCCTATTAGTGGTCCTAACTGAAAGAGAAAGATATCTCAAAAACAAATATGGATTACAAATAGAAGCTACAAACCGCGTAACCACTTTAAAAATCCATGGAACAGAAACTAATAAATTTCAAAAGAGAAAGAACTGATTCTTTAGAAAGTACCATTTGTCGAAGGGCAGAATAATCAAATGATCTTTTCGGAGCAGAAGATGGAGATGCTGCTCTGGTTGATTTTTTGGAAAGGGCAGGAGCTCTATTATTTGAGAAAGCAGCAAGTCTTCTTGTTGTTGGTCGATCTAAACTACCCACATGCATGGAGTGTATCGAGTCTACATCATCATCACCCGAAGAAGCTACAGAACCTTTGCTGTGAGAGCTAAATGGATCTCGATCATGACTATGAGATGAGCTGACACTTCTAGTCGCAGTCGGTGATGTCGATTGCCTTCTGAACTTGGAGGAAGCATCACTTCCATTTCTGGTTGCAGGTGAGGAACCCCTAACATAAGTTGCAGGTCGATCAGCAAGAGAAGTACGGAGGTTTGGAGGTGCTTCAGAGGAGAATCCTGGAATATTGGTTTGCCACGCTCGTATTTTTGGTGAAGCAGAGTTTCCCCGACTTGTCTTTGCAGGGGATATTCCCCTTGCCCCTGATGAGGCTGCAGAGCCAACAGACCCAGTGCTCACTCTTCGGGGAGTTGGGGTAGAAGACCTTGGGACAGGTGTTGAAGGTTTACTCGGAGGAGTAGATGGTCTTCGTGTTGGAGTCGCAGATCGTATACTAGGAGATGGGCTGGATTGACGGGTAGATGATGGTCTTCCCCTTGATTGAAAAGAGCCACTTCCAGAACGAGGAGAAGGGCTTAAACGATTTGGACTTGCACTACCCCTACTGCTTCTATAACTCTTCTCCATCTGCAAAATATGTCATATGATGTAAAAGAAAAGAAGAAATAGATAAACATCCGAAAGGACAAATTCCACATAACTCTTAACTACATTTCATAAACCTGACCCGGCCACTTACTGTTGATGATCTTGATATAGAAATAGGTTGGCTACGAGGTCTTCCCCTTCGACCGGAACTAAGTTGAGGTGGCTCATCATCCAGTGAAGGAAAAAGTGGAGTGTCAGGGGGTGTTAGCAACCTTTGAAATAAATAAAGAAGAAAATAACCATCAAACCCCTCAAGAAAAGTATAAACGGCAAGACTAGCATCACGAAAGAAATCCTTACTAAGATAATTAACTATTTACTCATATGATTCTATGGGAAAATGGACGAATAGCAGAGACAATATTTTCTCGCAACATACTTGAATAATCATACAGATAATTTGTGAGATACAAAAACGCATGCAGCATGGATAACAGGGCCTTAGCTGATAGTTTGATAAACATATACTTAATGAGAAAATCATACTCTGTCCACAGGAAGGTATAATTTAACATTTTAAGTAAGATATCTCAACCTCAACATACATAGTCACCATTGCCAAAGTATTTGGAAAACAGATTTGCTAGTAGTGCAAATTAAATTAATTGCTGTGGAATATGGAAAACATGCGAAATCCATAGAGCCAGGGAATTGGCAATAGAGATTCCAACGTGACAGCAGTAAGAAAATTAAAACATACCAGTCGTAGTCATTTTTATCCCCATCTGCATTGAGCAGGTCACTACTCTCCCCTCGTGCCGGAATAGAGATTCCAAGCTTGATATCTGAAAAGTGCCTCAATTTCGTAGCTATTGAAGACAAATCAAAGAGAGAACCGGATATCCATAAGCCAAAAATACCCAAATAAAATGTAAAAGGTCTAAACTTGGGGAAATCATTAAGAGAGAGAGAGAGAGAGAGAGGAGGGCAGAATAAGATATTACAAAATGTAGCTTCCAGGTCATCTGAAGACTGAAGCAAAAAACTCTCTCTTTCCCGGGTCTGCATCTCATTGAACAAAGCGAGATCATCATCTTTCTCTCTGAAGATCAATCCGCCTTCGAAACTATGCCCTCGCTTATGGTTGTTGGCTCTGGATTCCCTCCCGGGAGAATACCTCAATGCCGGAGAAGGAGGCATCTCAGCTACCAAAAGCTAGAGTCTCAAAATCTCCAAACCAATCTCTCCACAAAACCCACAATCAAACAACCCTTGTAGATGTAATAATTCTCCATAATGAATACCCCAGATAGCATAAGCCTCTCAATCACTTTCTCCCCCCTCCCCCCCCAAAAAAAAAGAACCAAACTTGAAAGATTAATCCACAATGTATATCCAGTAAATAATTAAAGCCCCAGATTAATCCACAATGTATATCCAGTAAATAATTAAAGCCCCCAATCGCTTTCACCCAAAACACCAAAGGCGTCTTCTGATTCGCCGTCCTCAAAGGGGGAAAAATTACAGAATTATTTAATTTCCCAGTGCAAGCGACCCAATACCCATAGGAACAATAGCTGGTACGTCCAAGTCAACTCAACATCAAACCCTTGTTTATTAACATTTCATAAATTAGCATAACAACTGAAGCAACTGTACCACTCGAAACGCAGAGGCCCAACCGACGTCCATATCCAATCTAACAAAGAAAACACTAATCAAAATTAACATACTTCTAATTATATAGATATATATACATACACGCATACATGTACCAAAATCTTAAAACCCTAAATTCTCTCACTTGCAGGCAGAGATAGATAGATAGATACATGAATATAGAAATAGTGAGAGAATCACTCGAAGAAGCCCTAATTCGGAGTCGAATTTTGACTCCCACTGACCATTCCGATACTCCAGAGTTCAAATTACGAAGAAACTAGTCGCAGTGCTTGACTTACCAAGTCAAAGCCGGCGGCTTCAAACTCTCAATCACCATGAAAGAAGCTCACTGGAGAGCCACTGAGATCCCAAGCTCGAAGATAAACCAGAAATGACTCCGAATGTCAATTACAATGCGACGAATGTTGTAACAGACAGCCGGATCTAAAGCATTTATTGCTTTGTCTGGGGACGTACGGATCGGGAGCTACAGAAAATGGATCGGTGCAAGCAAAGCAAAGCCCTAGCTCAACTTTCCAGCATTTTTCTCTCTGTCTCTCTCCTCCGAGAAAATTTTGCTTAACTTCCTTTGGAATTTGGGAAAGTGGAAAATTTGCGGGAGTTCAGTTTAACTAACCTTTTGTTAGAATGTTTAATGCTTCTGATTTTGCTTCTTTCGCCCCGCAGAATACCTTCCACTTCATTCATTCATTTTTCTTTTCTTTTCTTTTCTTTTTTTTTTTCCTCCTTTTTCTTTTCTCAGCTTTTCTCTTTTGCTCAGCGATATTTTTTGTTTTCCCCCTCTTTTTTCCTATATTATTAAATTCTACCTTTTCTTTTTCTTAGTTTTTACGTCGATGCCATTGCCACGTCCACTCATGTCGTACATGCACATTAAAAACTCAATACTTTTTTATTTTTTTTGTTTCTCTAACGACATTTATTTCACTTTAAATTCCCCAACCAAAAAAAAAAAAAAAAAAAACGGCTTTTTCTTCTATATATATTAAAGTAAACATCCCTGTGAATATTTTCAAATGTATGAATTCTTAATATGGGTATTTTATTTTTATTTTGAGCCTTTCAGCATCAATCCGAATTCTCTATTTTAAGTAAAATAAAATAAATACATAAACGTGTCATTATATCAGTTCTTTTCGAAGTGTCACCATGTGGTATGGAATACCACTAATGGAAGCTAGAGACAGGAAACTAATAAAAAGGGTTTGGATGCCAAAATTTGAGAAAACAACAGAAATCTTTAACAAAATCATTGATCTTGTTTCTTTATTTGTTTTGGAAATATTCTAAATTGGTAATTATATCCCGTGACATCCTAAGTGAGTCTAAAGATGGCCATTCTAAATGCACTTGCAACATATTTATTCGTATATGTGAACAAAATCATATAAGGTCGGCATCTTGTTCCTGCACTCCCAACAAAAAAAAAAAATCATTCCTAAATCATATTTACCTCGTGTAAATGTTTAAATTCACTAATCAAACGTCTGGTTCATAAATTCAGAATTATTTTCAATTTACGTGTGTTTTTTGTGAGATAAAATACTGTAACGAATCACGAACTATGATTCGAATTACGACGTGAATCCGCTGACCAAACGCATTAAGTTTATTTTTTTAATGCAAAATTCACTGACTTTATTACTTTATGTTCCCAAAAACGGTAGAAAGGAATTTCATGTAGTTTCCGAGAATAAAACTGCACTGTTTGTCTTTTCATTAAACTCTAAGATAAACTAAATTAATTAACATTGCTTCAACAGGTGCATCTTGAATATTAAACGTGATTGTGAGTGTTTATATTAAATTAATGGGATGAATAGTGATAAAAGCATGATTTTGGTGACATCAAATGGACAAATAAAGTACACTGTAAACTTTTTAAAGTAAATGTGTCGTATGAATAGCAACGCAAGGAAACAAATGTGTGGGACACAGGGAAAAAAAAAGGTCAACATAGCAACTAGCTTATCATTAACTTTTGTGCCCTTGTGCAAAGCTATTGAATTATGTCATTTTAATTGGTTGGTGATTGGCAAAACTTAGAAGGCTTCAATATAATCATAACTATTTCATTGCCTTTTTTCTTTTTTTTTTTTTCATTTGTTTGAATTAAGCCGTGTATTTAAAATAAATAAATAAATAGGAAAGAATCCCGACCAGCATTTGAAGAAAAATAGATATCACATCGGACAACTTTATTATTTTGTTTCTTGCCACGTGACCCCATCTGCAATTTTATAAAGAAGACGTTTAAAGTAGAACATAACATAAATGAGAAATTGTTCTTTAGTAGCAGTACACAATTAAAGAAGATAATAATTAAAGAACAGTCAAAATCAATGATGTGGGATTGATTAAGTAATCTGTATGATATTATTAATGTATCTTGATTGGTAGTTGTACTTTGTAGCATCTGAATAATGAATTCCATCCTATAATTGGCTTAATTAATTAAGAAAACTAGGTAGATCATTTTTAATTCAGTAGGTTTATTAGGTAATGTTTAATTGTGGACATAATTGGATTAGTGTTAGAAGGTGAGGATCAATCATTCCAAGTCAGGACCATCCGGGCTCCAATATGTAGATTTAACTTTTTTAAAAATAAAAAAAAAATAGATTTAACTGGCTTACAGCGAAATAAACAATAGATAATTTGTTTTTATTCTGCTTTCTTTATTTTTATTTTTATTTTATTTTCTAGGTTCTAATCTAATTACCCCCGTAAGTATATAGACGAGGCAGGGAAACATTGTGCTATTTGCATAACATTAATGATATATTTTAGTATAAAAAATTACTGGAATACGATAAAATTATAAAATGTATATTGTGTTATTAAAATTTATAAGGTACGTTTCATTTCTACAGCCCTGCATGGATCATAAATTATAAAATGTATATTGTGTACGGTATATTTGTTATTTGAATAAGTAAAAGTTATGTCTTGGTCCGAGTGGGGATAGCATTTCTCTTCTGCATATCCACGGAGTTTTGAAAAATTCAAACATCTCAAAGATAAATAGAGAGGTAGGAATTTATTGAACGAACCGCATTCATTTGTATGCGTAAAGAGTCCATTGATGAGTTGAGGGATTTTAGTTGGAAGTCCACGTGAGCCCACTTGCAGTTCATAATGTGAAAGACGATATAATGACTAAAATAGACAACAAAAATTATAAAAAAAAGTGACAAAGAAAATAACGTTAGTATTTCTTAAATTATAATACACATATAAATATACAACACAGTAACAGTGATGATATTGAGTATACTTAGAAGTGAAAATTAAGGGTATAAATAAAATTTTTTGAAAAATTGTGCATGAAGTATGAAATTAAAAAATAGAGGGGGAAATAAGAAAAAAAAAAATTGAAGAAAAACTAATGATCTTTTTTTAAAAGAAAAATAAATGGACTAGTTGGGCCGATGCAATGTAATCCCGGGCCCATGCTAGCTTTGTGTCTTTTTTATCATCGTATTGTACATCACATGATAATGCGTAAAAGACCTTTATGTTCTTTTTAATTTTCTACTCTCACGTCTCGTTTGAAACTTAAAATAACTAATATGAACGTCATGTAATATAAAGGTGTTAGTGGAATAAGTAGCGTCCCGATTGAAGAAAGGGCACTGCATGGTGGGCTCATGCAATGGGGTGGGTGGCGTTGTTATAGGGTTTGGATTTTGGATCGTTCCATTTAATTTACTGATTCGAGTTGAGATATAATTTTATATGAGAGTTTTTTACTGTAGTAAAAAAATTAAATGTGACTGTTTATGATAACTTTTTACTGTAATAAAATTCAAATTCTAAATTTGAATCGGTGAAATAAACGAGACATTATGTTTGTATATGGGTTCTTAATGAGTTTTAACTCATAATTTTAATTATGTTACAATATTTTTCTCTTATAAAAAAATTAAAATTCAAAAGTTATAATCAAAATAACTGATTTGAATCATAGTTTGAGTCTATATACTAAAGGGCCCTAAAATGTGATGCGGTTTTACTTGAGCTTGAGGGGAAAAAAAAAAAGAATAATTTGCACCAGTAATCCCTCAAATTTTTTAATAAGTTACACTTTGATTCCTTTTTTAAAAAAAATTTAATAAAACAATCCCTTAACTCTTAAATCATTGATAATTTATGGACTTCCGTCCAAATATGTGAGTTTCTGTAATCAACACATCCAAATATCAACACAACGTATAAAAATGAGTTTTTAAGAGTTAAAGAGTTGTTTTGTCAAAATTAAAAAAAAGAATAAAAGTATCACCTACTAGAAAGTTGAGGGACTAAAGGTGAAAATTACTCAAAAAAATCAACAAATAAGATTAAAACAACAATGAAATTGACGATTGAGATCTGAGATTATTTTGATGATTTCGGTATTTTTTATCTAATTACGGATAGATTTATATGGTTGTTTTTGTAACTGTCTCTTTGTAATGTGTGATGTGCTTGTCACGTGTCTTCTATCTTCTTCTTCTTTTTATTTTTTATTTTTTAAAGAATGTCTTCTATCTCTTAAACTTAAAGAAACCTCGTCATTCAAACCAAATTGTAACTCAAAATTTTAATTTAGAGATAAATTTATATATATATATATTAAAACTATGTTATTTTCACAATTTAAATTTTTTACTACAATATTTTCTTTTATAAAAATTTAAATTTAATTTTTTTATTATAATATTTTATCTCATATAAATTCATTTTTAAACTAAATTTGTCCACATATTTGGATTAAAAATTACTCGCTTAAAAATTAAGGTGACGTTTGGTAAGTGGATTCGTACCTTAATTCGAATAATGGTTTATAATTCGCTATAATATTTTTTCTCATAAAAAATACACGTAAATAAAAAATAATTCTAATTTCATGATTATAATCCATGAACCAAACGTCTCCTCAGTGACCTACAAGGGTATTAACGTAAAAAAAATAATCTGAAAATGATCCAAACGACGCCGTTCCATGTCATTATCCAATATTGTTGTGTAAAATAAAGCCAAACCGGAGCAACGCTCGAACGGCTGAAGCGTCTACACAATGTGGGCGGCTCTACGATCCAACTCTTCCCGTTTCTCACCGTATTCTTCACTTCTTGAACAATGGAAGCTAGGGTTTCCGAGTTTCAACCACAAGCTCTCTTCGTCGTCAGCCATTTCCAACAGCACCGGACTTCTGGAGCTTCAAGAAGTGGAGAAGATTCTGAACGACGTTAGGGCAGATAATGTCAAGGTCATACCGGGAAAGAAGCACTGCGATTGGGCCGATTTCACGGTGATCGCCACCGGAAGGTCCACCTGGCACGTGAGGAACATTGCTCAAGCCCTAATTTACAAGGCAGGTTTGTTGGTTCTAGTTTCGAAATTTCAAATTTTCCAAGTCTTCATTTTCGATGCGAAAGGGAGAGAATTCGAGAAAAGTGATTGAATTTTTTAGCTTAGCCGAAAAAATTGAAATACTATTATGTAACTTCTAAAGCTACAATGAGTATTCTTGGTGTTTCCTTGTTGTCCAGTAATCTAAACAAGAGCGCCATCTAATTCATATGTGTGTGTGTGTGTGCAGGTCAAGCAGAAGCAAAAAGGAACAAACCGGTTAGTGCTTCCCAGCGTTGAAGGGCAAGAGGGAGGAAAGTGGATTGTCATTGACTCTGGTTATTGTTCTATCTCTGAACTACGACAAATGACAATTATTGATCTATGTAACATATCATAGTTTATATCATATATTAGTGATCTACGTAAATTTCCGTCCTTTGTATTGTAGGCTTTTACATTAATGAGGAAAATCTTTTTAACTGATTTATTTAGCAAACCATAATTCGTATCATAAATTCAGTGATCATGGACTTTACTGCTATTGAAAGTTCACACCTTTTTGTGGGGGTTTGTGATGGTTACCTCAATTTGTTCAGGCAAAGTGGTAATTCATGCTCTTGATGAGAAGGCAAGAGAGTACTACAATTTGGAGGATCTTTGGACCACAGACACGTCTGAAAAGGAGCCAACCCAGGTACAATTAATGTTTCAACCAATGATTTCTGAAATGCCCTTTTTCTTTTTTATTTCTTTATTTTGTGTTGTGCTACCTACGCATACTTTCTCTGACCATGGTGAAGAAAACCTTAAGTTTCCAGGAAAGTGAAGATAGGCTGTAAAGGGAGTTGTCCTTAAAGCTTGCGAACTGCTTTACTATTATGTGTATTCATGACTCCTTCGTACTTGTACAGTATGTATAGAATAGGTAAAAATATAAAACTTATAACAAAAGATTCAACGGAAAATATGGTAAGGCATTTACATCTCAATTTTCATTAGTCATCATCCCCTGGCCCTGGCTCTGGCCCTTTTAGATGATTTGGCATCTTACAGCCATTGGGTAGGATTGGCATAGTTTGCCTGCCCTACCCTTCAACACTATTGTTCTCATGCTTCAATCCAATATTTGGAATGTGAAGAACGGCAAAGGGTAGAATCCTTCTGCTTTTCACAGGATTTATCTCTGGCATTGCTGCAGCTAGATTCTTAAGCGCAGTGAGGCGGTGCTAAAAGCACTTGACAATGTGGGTTGTCCTGTAAAGACTGAAGGAAAGGATCTATCGATTTAGTACACAATCTTGTCCCTATACTGAATTAAAAGCGAAACCGACTAATTTCCATTGGCTAAACTATGAAAAGATCAAATCGTTGGTTTTTTGATTCTATCTGGATGGAACCGGTCACCTGAATCAATATCAGATTTTGATAAGGGATGTTTAGTTCAGGTTTTGAGTTTGTTGGGGTGAGAGATCAAGGGTTCCTCCCCGCTTTCTTTTGGGTCCGATTTTCATGGTCATTCAAAACTTTTGGTTTTTGCTTTTGTTTTTGTTTTTGTTTTTTTGTTTTTTTGTTTTTTTTTTTTCTGGGTATAAAATTCCTTGTATTGTCTTTGTTTGTTCAGGATTTGGAAAAGGCTATGGTGAAGATTCGTCGGAAGAATAACTCCAAGAAACGAGCTCAGAAAGTGTAATCACCAAAGTTTGCCATTGACCTTGCTATTATAGATTCTAATTGAAAGAATTCGAGCTTTTTTATGTTTAATCAAGAGTTTTCATTAGGAAATTTCTTGATCAAGGTCTACTTTTCTGCTTTTCAAATTTCAATGATTGAGCATGCTTAAGCATCATGTAAACAGAATCTTTTGTGATAACTATTATATGCTTTAACATTCTAGGTTTTGTTTTGTTTTTTTTATATTTTAAATGTGTTAAAGAGTAGGTGTTATGGACGGGACAAAGTCGGTCAAAAGTCTTAGCTGAATCAAAATTGTGATGAGAAAGTTTTGGATATGGTTCTAAAGAAACATGTATATTTTCGGTAAGCTCACTCACTCTCATTGAAGTAGAAGCCTCGCAATGGCAACTGTTTATGTAACAAAAAAAGTTAATAAGAGTAACGGGTGACATTCAGATAATTTTAAGAAGGTAGGACATTCTCGTGTAGCATTATGAATCCCTTATTAAGAGATTGTTCTTGTATCTTGATAAATGCACGAATTTGCACTTTTAATGTTCATAATTGTTAAATTATTTTATCAAATTTGTGATTTTAATTTCAAATATTCCTAAATTTAGAGGATTTAATTTTAATTGGATTTATTTTATTTTTCAGGTTTTTGAAGAAAACAAATTGAATTTGGGCTAGTTTACCAAGTAAAACCCAAAAGTTGAGCCCAAGAAAAGCCCAATTCGGCCCAAAGCCCATCAGCCCATAAGCTAGCCGAGCCGAGCCGAA